AAGGGCCCTGTTGTGTACTAATTATTACGATAATAATTAATATTAATAAATAATAAATATAAGGTATCTGTTGTGTATAGTAATAATAAATAATTATAATAAATAAATATTGTTAAAAGGGCTTTGTTGTGTAATAATAATAATAATAATAGTAAATATTATAAGGTATTTAATGTATTTAATGTATTATAAGGGCCCTGTTGTGTACTAATTATTACGATAATAATTAATATTAATAAATAATAAATATAAGGTATCTGTTGTGTATAGTAATAATAAATAATTATAATAAATAAATATTGTTAAAAGGGCTTTGTTGTGTAATAATAATAATAATAATAGTAAATATTATAAGGTATTTAATGTATTTAATGTATTATAAGGGCCCTGTTGTGTACTAATTATTACGATAATAATTAATATTAATAAATAATAAATATAAGGTATCTGTTGTGTATAGTAATAATAAATAATTATAATAAATAAATATTGTTAAAAGGGCTTTGTTGTGTAATAATAATAATAATAGTAAATATTATAAGGTATTTAATGTATTTAATGTATTATAAGGGCCCTGTTGTGTACTAATTATTACAATAATAATTAATATTAATAAATAATAAATATAAGGTGTCTGTTGCGTATAGTAATAATAAATAATTATAATAAATAAATATTGTTAAAAGGGCTTTGTTGTGTAATAATAATAATAATAGTAAATATTATAAGGTATTTGTTATGTATAATAATTATTATTATAATAAATATTGTTATGAGGGCTTTGTTGTCTGTTATTATTAAACTTTATTTGTCCCCCGAAGGACTCGATGCGGCTTACAAAGGCCAAGGCCTCAATACACAACATAACAATACAAAACATAAAGCAAATTAAAAACAGTTAAAGCAATATTAAACAACAAGCACTAAACAATACACCAAGACACAATAAAACTGTGTACTAATTATAATAATAATAATTAATATTAATAAATAATAAATATTATAAGGTATCTGTTGTGTATAGTAATAATACATATTGTTATGAGGGCTTTGTTGTTTACTAATTATTTTAATAATTAATATTAATAAATAATAAATATTGTCATTATAAGAGGGCTTTGTTGTGTATCAAGGTCTTCGTTGCATATTCCTATATGGCGAAATGAGGCAGGAATAGATGACCCTTGGGTGCCCCTTCCAACTTGAGTGGATTATGGACTTTCCTTGGAAAATAGGGCGGACGCTCCATTTTTCGTAGCTCAACATTCCCGGGGTCGGTGCCTCTGGTGCCTCTGAGCATGGGCGGATCCACTTTTGTGCTTTTGGAAGACGTTGCGGGTGGGTCGAATGTTCTCTGTGAGCGTTCTCCCTCTAAATATAGTGACTTTCCTTCCTTTTTGGTTTAAGAATGAAAGAACCGGGTGTGCAACTTCCCTTCCTCCTCCTCGCCGGGTTTTGCTCCATCAGCAAAATGGGATTTTTCTCTCCCTCCTTTCTTCCCTTTTTTGTGCATAGATCTCTATTTTGCGCTGAAAATTGTATGCGAATTTTGCGTTCCGATTTTTGTATTCTGCCTTCGATTCCGGAATTATATTTAGTTGATTTTCTCAACTCACGGTCAATAGAAAACAGTGCTGTTTCTAATATACTACAAGACATAAAATTATAAATATATATATATATACAAAATACAAAAAATATAAAATTATGAAATTAAAAATGTAGAAAAAATTAGAAAACAACGGTGTCATCAAAACAAGTGGATCGAAAGCTAATAAGTTTGATTTTGAACCCAGTAGAAAATATTCTCTCAATGTATTGTCACCAAAATGGACTAGATTACACATGGCCCCGCCTCTTCTGGCCTGACCCCGCCTCTTCTCACCTGACCCCGCCTCCTCTGGCCGGACCCCGACGCTTCTCACCTGACCCCCCTCTTCTCACCTGACCCCACCTCACCTGACCCCGCCTCTTCTCACCTGACCTCCCTCTTCTCACCTGACTTCACCTCTTCTCACCTGACTTCACCTCTTCTCACCTGACCCCACCTCTTCTCACCGATCCCCCTTCTTCTGGCCTGATCCTGACTATTCTGGCCTGACCTCACCTTTTCTCACCTGACCCCGCCTCTGCTGGCTGGACCCCGCCGCTTCTCACCTGACCTCCCTCTTCTCACCTGACCTCCCTCTTCTCACATGACTCCCTTCTTCTGACCTAATCTCACCTTTTCTGGCCTGACACCGCCTTTTCTCACCTGACCCCATCTCTTCTGACCTGACCCCCCTCTTCTGGCCTGACCCCGCCACTTCTCACCTGACCCCACCTCTTCTCACCTGACCCTGCCTCTTCTCACCTGACCTCGCCTCTTCTGGCCTGACCCCGCCTCTTGACACCTAACCCTGCCTCTTCTCATCTGGCCCCCCTTTTCTGGCCTGATTCCCCCTCTTCTGACCTGATCCCACATTTTCTGGCCTGACACCTTTTCTCACCTGACCCCGTCCCTTCTCACCTGATTCCGCCTCTTCTGGCCTGACCCCGCCTCTTCTCACCTGACCTCCCCCTTCTCACCTGACCCCACCTCTTCTCACCTGACCCTGCCTCTTCTCACCTGACCTCGCCTCTTCTGGCCTGACCCCGCCTCTTGACACCTAACCCTGCCTCTTCTCATCTGGCCCCCCTTTTCTGGCCTGATTCCCCCTCTTCTGACCTGATCCCACATTTTCTGGCCTGACACCTTTTCTCACCTGACCCCGTCCCTTCTCACCTGATTCCGCCTCTTCTGGCCTGACCCCGCCTCTTCTCACCTGACCTCCCTCTTCTCACCTGACCCCACCTCTTCTCACCTGACCCCGCCTCTTCTCACCTGACCTCCCTCTTCTCACCTGACCCCGCCTCTTCTTCTCACCTGACCTCGCCTCTTCTTGCCTGACCCCCCTCTTCTCACCTGACCCCGCCTCTTCTCACCTGGCCGCCTCTTCTCACCTGACCCCGCCTCTTCTCACCTGACCTCCCTCTTCTCACCTGACCCCGCCTCTTCTCACCTGACCTCCCTCTTCTCACCTGACCCCGCCTCTTCTTCTCACCTGACCTCGCCTCTTCTTGCCTGACCCCCCTCTTCTCACCTGACCCCGCCTCTTCTCACCTGGCCTCGCCTCTTCTCACCTGACCCCGCCTCTTCTCACCTGACCTCCCTCTTCTCACCTGACCCCGCCTCTTCTTCTCACCTGACCTCGCCTCTTCTTGCCTGACCCCCCTCTTCTCACCTGACCCCGCCTCTTCTCACCTGGCCTCGCCTCTTCTCACCTGACCCCGCCTCTACCTGACCCCGCCTCTTCTCACCTGGCCTCCCCTCTTCTCACCTGACCCCGCCTCTTCTCACCTGACCTCCCTCTTCTCACCTGACCCCGCCTCTTCTTCTCACCTGACCTCGCCTCTTCTTGCCTGACCCCCCTCTTCTCACCTGACCCCGCCTCTTCTCACCTGCCCCCTCTTCTCACCTGACCTCGCCTCTTCTCACCCGACCCCACCTCTTCTCACCTGATCCACCTCTTCTCACCTGACCCCGCCTCTTCTCACCGATCCCTTCTTCTGGCCTGACCCCGCCTCTTCTGGCCTGACCCCCCTCTTCTGGCCTGACCCCCCTCTTCTCACCTGACCCCCCCTTCTCTGACCCCTCTTCTGGCCTGACCCCCCTCTTCTGGCCTGACCCCGCCTCTTCTCACCTGACCTCCCTCTTCTCACCTGACCCCCCCTCTTCTCACCTGACCCCGCCCCTTCTCTTGACCTCCCTCTTCTCACCTGACCCCGCCTCTTCTCACCTGACCCCCCTCTTCTGGCCTGACACCGCCTTTTCTCACCTGACCCCGCCTCTTCTCACCTGACCCCCCTCTTCTGACCTGACCTGCCTCTTCTCACCTGACCCCATCTTTTCTGACCTGACCCCGCCCCTTCTCACCTGACCTCCCTCATATGACCTGACCTTTTCTCACTGATTCCCCTTCTTCTGGCCTGACCACGCCTCTTTTGGTCTGACCCTGCCTCTTCTGACCTGACCCCACCTCTTCTCTTCTGACCTGACCCCGCCTCTTCTGACCTGATCCCACCTTTTCTGGCCAGACACCGCCTTTTCTCACCTGACCCCGTCTCTTCTGACCTGACCCCCCTCATCTGACCTGACCTCGCCTCTTCTCACCTGACTCCCCTCTTCTCACCTGATCCGCTTCTTCTGACCTTACCCCGCCTCTTCTGACCTGACCTGCTTCTTCTGGCCTGGCCACGCCTCTTCTGGCCCTGGCCCCTCCTCTTCTGGCCCCGCCGGCTTCTCACCTAACCTCCCTCTTCTGGCCTGACCATGCCTCTTCTCTCCTGGTCCCACCTCTTCTGACCTGACCTGCCTATTCTGACGACCTCACCTCTTCTCACCTCATTCCGCCTCTTCTGACCTGACCCTGCCCCTTCTCACCTAACCTCCCTCTTCTCACCTGACCCCACCTCTTCTGACATGACCCCCTCTTTTCACCTGACCCTGCCTCTTCTGTCTTGACCCTGCCTCTTCTCACCAGACCTCGCCTCTTCTCACCTAACCCCTCTCTTCTGGCCTGACCCCGCCTCTTACCTGATCCCGCCTCTTCTCACTTAACCCCCTCTTCTGACCTGACCCTGCCACTTCTGACCTGACCCCCCAGTTTCTGACCTGACCCCGCCTTTTCTCACCTGACCTTGCCTCTTCTTCCTAGGTGCTTCTGAATGTTCTGTATCATGTCCAAGCAAGACTCCTATTGGTTGAGATGAAGCGGGAGGCGGGACATGTCATTGCTCCACCCTGTTGCCGACTTCCCTCTGGCTCACCCCTCCCTCCTTCTGAGATTCTACCGACATTCCGTGTTGCTTCCTAGGAGGACTTCTATTGGTTGAGGTTCAAAGGGAGGCGGGGCTTCTCAACCACACAACCCCGCCTCTTCTGACCTGACTCCTCCTCTCGTCTTTTCCCACACACACAGATGCCGTGAGCTGGCGCCATGGCGGAGGAGTGGGCCCCACAGCTGGTGGACTACTTCGTGGTGGCCGGCTTGGCGGAGACCTCCAAGCCCCTGGAGGATGAGGGGCAGCCCCCGCCACGCCCGGCCCGGCCCAGTGAGCCCATTGTGGACGTGGCGGTCATCGTCCGCTCCCAGGGCGAGGAGGTGCCCCACGGCTTCACCTGCATCGACCGCACGGCCGCCGGGCACCCCGTGGAGCTCAACGCGGGGCTCCTCAACAACCCCCAGATGTTCCTCTGCTACCGGAGGGGCCGGGACAAGCCCCCCATCGTGGAGTTGGGGTGAGCGGGGGTAAAGGGGGTTGGAGGACCTAGAAACGTGATGGACCTTCAACACTGGAGGACCTAGAAACGTGATGGTCCTTCAACACTGGAGGACCTAGAAACGTGATGGACCTTCAACACTGGAGGACTTAGAAAAGTGATGGTCCTTCAACACTGGAGGACCTAGAAACGTGATGGTCCTTCAACACTGGAGGACCTAGAAACGTGATGGTCCTTCAACACTGGAGGACCTAGAAACGTGATGGACCTTCAACACTGCCATATAGCAGTGTAGACTCAGATAGTCCAGTTCAACACAGATCATCTGGATCACCCGTGGGTGTTTCCAATGGGTATCTTAAATGGGGTTGTTCCTTCCCTTCTCTTCCCTGGTATCCATATCTTCCTTGTCTCCATAGGGTGCACTACGACGGGAAGGACCGCCCCAAGCCCGGCTTCAAGGTGGTCGACACGACTCCTTACAGCCACTCGGCCAACCTGGCCTCCGGGAGCCCCGGCCACCAGCGCACCTTCTTGATGTACCGGCGCGCCACCGAGGGCCAGGCCCACAGCACCCTGGGCATCACGGACATCTGCCTCATCATGCCCAGCAAAGGGGAGAGCACCCCACACACCTTCTGCCGCGTGGACCGCAACCTCAACGCCGGGATGGTGAGCACCCTAGGAGGCCACTTGGGGTTGGCATTCCAGGGTGTATATGTGTGTGGATAGATAGATAGATAGATAGATAGAATCCTAGAGTTGAGAGGGGCCCCAAAGAAGGCCATCCAGTCCAACCCCCTTCTGCCATGATAGATAGATAGATAGATAGATAGATAGATAGATAGAATCCTAGAATTGAAAGGGGTCCAAAGAAGGCCATCTAATCCAACCCACCTCTACCATAATAGATGGATGGATGGATGGATGGATAGATAGATAGAATCCTAGAGTTGACAGGGGTCCCAAAGAAGGCCATCCAGTCCCACCATCTTCTGACATAATAGATAGTGAGATAGAATCCTAGAGTTGGAAGGGACCTCAAGGAAGACCATCTAGTCCAACCCCCTTTTACCATAATAGATAGAATCATAGAATTGAAAGGGGCCCCAAGGAAGACCATCTAGTCCAACTCATTCTACCATAATTGATGAATAGATGGATGTATGGATAGATAGATGTAATCCTAGAGTTGGAAGGGGCCCCAAAGAAAGCCATCCAGTCCCACCCCCTTCTGCCATAATAGATAGATAGATCCTAGAGTTGGAAGGGGCCCCAAAGAAGGCCATCTAATCCAACCCACTTCTACCATAATAAATAGGAGGATGGATGGATGGATGGATGGATGGATGGAATCATAGAGTTGGAAAGGACCCCGAGGAAGACCATCTAGTCCCACCCTCTTCTACCATAATAGATAGATAGATAGATAGATAGATAGATAGATAGAATCCTAGAATTGAAAGGGATCCCAAGGAAGGCCATCTAGTCTAACCTACTTCTATCATAATAGATAGAATCCTAGAGTTGAGAGGGGCCCCAAAGAAGGCCATCTAGTCCCACCCCCTTCTGCCATAATAGATAGACTCCTAGAGTTGGAAGGGACCTCAAGGAAGACCATCTAGTCCAACCCCTTCTACCATAATAGATAGATAGATAGATAGAATCCTAGAGTTGGAAGGGACCCCAAGGAAGACCATCTAATCCAACTCCTTCTACCGTAATAGATGGATGGATGGATGGATGGATGGATAGATAGATAGTATCCTAGAGTTGAGAGGGGCCCCAAAGAAGGCCATCCAGTCCCACCCTCTTCTGCCATAATAGATAGATAGAATCCTAGTTGGTCCCCAAAGAAGACCAGCTAATCCAACCCACTTCTACCATAATAAATAGATAGAGATAGTATCCTAGAGTTGAGAGGGGCCCCAAAGAAGGCCATCCAGTCCCACCCTCTTCTGCCGTAATAGATAGATAGAATTCTAGAGTTGGAAGGCACCCCAAGGAAGACCATCTAGTCTAACCCACTTCTACCATAATAGATAGATAGAATCCTAGAATTGAAAGGGATCCCAGAGAAGGCCATCTGTACATAGACAGAAAGAAAGAAAGATAGATAGATAGATAGTATTCTAGAGTTGAGAGGGCTCAAAGAAGGACATCCAGTCCCACTCCCTTCTGCCATAATAGATAGATAGATAGATAGATAGATAGATAGATAGATAGATAGAGAGAGAGATAGAGATAGAATCCTAGAGTTGGAAGGGGCCCCAAAGGAGACCATTTAGTCCAACCCCCTTCTACCATAGTGGATGGATGGATAGATAGATAGAATCCTAGAGTTGGAAGGGACCCCAAGGAAGACCATCTAGTCCATAATAGATAGATAGAATCATAGAATTGAAAGGGATCCCAAAGAAGGCCATCGATAGATAGATAGATAGATAGATAGATAGATAGATAGATAGTATTCTAGAGTTGAGAGGGGGCCCAAATAAGGCCATCCAGTCCCACCCCCTTCTGCCATAATAGATAGATAGAATTGAAAGGGGCCCCAAAGAAGGCCATATAATCCAACATACTTCTACCATAATAGATAGATGGATGGATAGATAGATAGAGTTGGAAGGGACCCCAAGGAAGACCATCTAGTCTAACCCCCGTCTGCCATAATAGATAGATAGATAGATAGATAGAATCCTAGAGTTGGAAAGGGACCCAAAGAAGGCCATCTAATCCAACGCACTTCTACCATAATGATGGATGGATGGATGGATGGATGGATGGATAGAATCCTAGAGTTGGAAGGGACCCAAGCAAGATAATCTATTCTCGTTGTGAGAGAAATCTTCCCCTCTGAAGGAAGGGACATTCACTCCGGGAAGAGTTATTATCAGGGAGCACAGTGGTCTCCAATGAAGCTGTATCCCCAATCCTTGTTTCCACACCAAGCCACATTTTTCAAAATCCAATTATCACAGGGGTGTTAACTCTTCCCTTTGCTACCCAAAGCTATAGATAGATAGATAGATAGATAGATAGATAGATAGATAGATAGAGATATATAGTCTCTCTTACTGGAACTGCCTATTTTCTGCTCTAATTTGTAAACAAAGACTTTTGTTGACCTCCGTAGCTCCAGGTGTTTTTCCCTGGGAGCCTTCTGTATCACTTAAATCTTCTCTCGACTCCTTATCTAATGTTGCTGTTACTGGCTCCTCTGACTGACCTTGAGGCCTTGCACTTTCTGAGTCAGGTTTTTCCCCAGAAAGACTTTTGTTGACCTCCGTGGCTCAGGTCTTTTTCCTTGGGAACCTTCTGTATCACTTAGCTCATTTCTTGACTCCTTATCTAATGTTGTGGTTACTGGCTCTCTGACTGACCTCGAGGCCTTGCACTTTCTGAGTCAGGTTTTTCCCCAGAAAGACTTTTGTTGACCTCCGTGGCTCAGGTGTTTTTCCTTGGGAGCCTTCTGTATCACTTAGCTCATCTCTTGACTCCTTATCTAATGTTGTGGTTACTGGCTCCTCTGATTGACCTTGAGGCCTTGCACTTTCTGAGTCAGGTTTTTTCCCCCAGAAAGACTTTTGTTGACCTCTGTGTCTCAGGTGTTTTTCCTTGGGAGCCTTCTGTATCACTTAGCTCATCTCTCAACTCCTTATCTAATGTTGCAGTTACTGGTTCCTCTGACTGACCTTGAGGCCTTGCACTTTCTGAGTCAGGTTTTTTCCCAGAAAGACTTTTGTTGACCTCCGTGGCTCAGGTGTTTTTCCCTGGGAGCCTTCTGTATCACTTAGCTCGACTCCTTATCTAATGTTGCGGTTTCTGGCTCCTCTGGCTGACCTTGAGGCCTTGCACTTTCTGAGTCAGGTTTTTCCCAGGGAGATCCATCATTTCTCTGACTTGAATCTTCATCACTTTGGGTTTCAGGAAATCCCACAATTCTCTCTAAACCATCAGTGAACCCATCAGGTTCAGGCTGTACGACAACACTTCCTTTCTCTTCCCTCCCTTCCCTTCCTATACATATCTCCTATCACTCCCTGGCTTTCACAGTGACATCACAGAGGGCCACTTCACCTATCCTCTTTGTTTCTGTGCCCAAACAGTGTGGTTCTTTTAGTTTGAACCCAGATCCGTCAAGCCACGGAGCAACCTTTGGGGGACACTTAACATCCACACATACTTTGACTTTTATGTCTAGAGAAAATAGCTTTGCCAACGGAGGCTGAATGGTTATATAATGCTGTAATGTGAATTCTGGTTCAAAGGAGGTCTCTTTTATCCCTTAGGCTGAGTGTTTTTTTCTGGTTCATGCTCTCACTTTTCCCTTTCTATTCTTAACCAACGTCCTTTCTTCTTCCCACAGTGGGGTCCTGCCCTCTTTATCTGCTACAAGGTGGCGTTGGCCAAAGGGAACACTCTGGTTTACGAAGCAGGTAAATAACGGCACACCTGGGAGATAGGTAGCAAACACCCCGGGACGCATACTGAACTTTGGGTTGGTTGGTGATGTAACAAAGTTCACACAACAAAGAAGTTCTTGTTAACAAGGTTGTTTTATGAGACTCCTCTCTAGCAGGTTCATTAATCCAATGAGAGGGATTACAAGGGCTGCCCCATGTTAAGGCTGATGCAGTAGTCAAGATGATCTGACATTCAAGGATGAGGGCACTATTGTCACTCTTCCCAGGTCTCCTCAGTCGATATCCAAAGGAGGACAACGAGGCATTCCCATTGCCCGAGTCGGTGCCTGTGTTTTGCCTGCCCATGGGGGCCACCATCGAGAGCTGGCCGGCCGATAGCAAATACCAACTTCCCGTCTTCTCCACCTTCGTGTTGACCGGCGCCTCTGGGGACAAGGTATCGTTATGGCTATCTTCTGTAAGGCATTGACCTTGGGTCAACTTCTACCATAAAATCTAATTAGAGGACCTAGATATGTCTTGAAAGACCACCAGAATTCAGTGGCCAACTCTGTGGTCAACACTTGTCAGACTATCAGACTATCAAGACACACCAGGAACCTTAGTGATGTCTGGAGAGGCCACCAGAAGTCAGTGGCCAACCGTATGGTCAGACGTTGACTATAGAATCATAATGAAGACCTATAGATGCCTAGAGAGACCATCAGAAGTCAATGATCAAACCTTGGATCAACTTCTGTCCTAAAATCTAACTAGAGGACCTAGAGATGTCTTGAAAGACCACCAGAATCCAGTGGTAAACTCTGTGGTCATCTTCTGTAAGGCATTGACTATAGTGTCATTCTGGAAAACATAGAGATTCTTAAAGTGACCACCAGTGGTCAACTCTGTGGCCAGATTCTGCCAGACATTGACTATGGCATCACACTAGCGCACCTAGAGAGACCATCGGAATTCAGTGGTCATCTCTGTGGTCAACACTTGTCAGACACTGACTATCAAGACACATCGGGAACCTTAGAGATGTCTAGAGAGGCCACCAGAAGTCAGTGGCCAACCGTATGGTCAGACGTTGACTATGGAATCATAATGGAAGACCTATAGATGTCTAGAGAGATCATCAGAAGTCAATGATCAAACCGTGGGTCAACTTCTGTCCTAAAATCTAACTAGAAGACACAGAGATGTCTTGAAAGACCACCAGAATTTAATGGTCAGCTCTGTAGTCATGTTCTGTAAGCATTGACTATAGTGTCATTCTGGAAAACCTAGAGATTCTTAAACTGACCTCCAGTAGTCAACTCTGTGGCCAGATTCTGCCAGACATTGACTATGGCATCACACTGGTACACCTAGAGAGATCACCAGAATTCAGTGATCAGCTCTGTGATCAACACCTGCCAGACGATAACTATCAAGGCACACTGGGAACCTAGAGATGTCTGAAGAGACCACCAGTAGCTAATCGTATGGTCAGACGTTGACTCTAGAATCGCAGTGGAAGACTTATCGATGCCTAGAGAGACCATCAGAATTCAGTGATCAAACCTTGGGTCATCTTCTACCATAAAATTTAACTAGAGGTCCTAGAGATGTGTTGAGTAGTCTACACAAGACACCTAGAGATGTCTGGAGAGACCACTAGAATTCAGTAGCTAACCGTATGGTCAGACATTGACTCTAGAATTGCAGTGAAGACCTAGAGATGTCTAGAGACCACCAGAATTCAGTAACCAAACTTTGGGTCAAATTCTACCATAAAATCTAACTAGAGGTCCTAGAGATGTCTTGAGTGGTCAACTCAAGATACCTAGAGATGTCTAGAGAGACCACCAGAATTCAGTAGCTAAATGTATGGTCAGACGTTGACTCTAGAATTGCAGCGGAAGACCTAGAGATGTCTAGAGACCACCAGAATTCAGTAACCAAACCTTGGGTCAACTTCTATCGTAAAATCTAACTGGAAGTCCTAGAGATGTCTTGAGTGGTCAACTCAAGACACCTAGAGATGTCTAGAGAGACTACCAGAATTCAGAATTCAGACGTTGACTCTAGAATTGCAGTAGAAGACCTAGAGATGTCCAGAGACCAACAGAATTCAGTAACCAAGCCTTGGGTCAACTTCTACCATAAAATCTAACTAGAGATCCTAGAGATGTCTTGTGTGGTCCACTCAAGACACCTAGAGATGTTTGGAGAGACCACCAGAATTCAGTAGCTAACCGTATGGTCAGACGTTGACTCTAGAATTGCAGTAGAAGACCTAGAGATGTCTAGAGACCAACATAATTCAGTAACCAAGCCTTGGGTCAACTTCTACCATAAAATCTAACTAGAGATCCTAGAGATGTCTTGTGTGGTCCACTCAAGACACCTAGAGATGTTTGGAGAGACCATCAGAATTCAATAGCTAACCGTATGGTCAGACGTTGACTCTGGATTTGCAATGGAAGACCATTAGATGTCTAGAGAGACCATCAGAATTCAATAACCAAACATTGGGTCACCTTCTACCATAAAATCTAACTAGAGGTCCTAGCAATGTCTGGAAAGACCACCAGAATTCAGTAGCTAACTGTATGGTCAGACGTTGACCCTGGAATTGCAGTGGAAGACGTATAGATGTCTAGAGAGACCATCAGAATTCAGTAACCAAACCTAGGGTCAACTTCTACCATAAAATCTAACTAGAGGTCCTAGAGATGTCTTGAGTGGTCAACTCAAGACATCTAGAGATACCTGGAGAGACCACGAGAATTCAGTAGCTAACCATATGGTTAGACGTTGACTCTAGAATTGCAGTGGAAGACCTAGAGATGTCTAGAGAGACCACCAGAATTCAGTAACCAAACCTTGGTTCAACTTCTTCCATAAAATCTAACTAGCGGTCCTAGAGATGTCTGGAGAGACCACCAGAATTCAGTAGCTAACCGTATGGTCAGACGTTGACTCTGGATTTGCAATGGAAGACCAGTAGATGTTTAGAGAGACCATCAGAATTCAGTAACCAAATCTTGGTTCAACTTCTATCATAAAATCTAACTAGAGGTTCTAGAGATGTCTTGTGTGGTCAACTCAAGACACCTAGCGATGTCTGGAGAGACCACCAGAATTCAGTAGCTAACCGTATGGTCAGACGTTGACTCTGGAATTGCAATGGAAGACCAGTAGATGTCTAGAGAGATCATGTGAATTCAGTAACCAAACCTAGGGTCAACTTCTTCCATAAAATCTAACTAGAGATCCTACAGATGTCTTGAGTGGTCAACTCAAGACACCTAGAGATGTCTGGAGAGACCACCAGAATTCAGACATTGACTCTAGAATTGCAGTGGAAGACCTAGAGATGTCTAGAGCCCACCAGAATTCAGTAACCAAACCTTGGGTCAACTTCTGCCATAAAATCTAACTAGAGATCCTAGAGATGTGGTCCACTCAAGACACTTAGAGATGTCTGGAGAGACCACCAGAATTCAGTAGCTAACTGTATGATCAGACGTTGACTCTAGATTTGCAATGGTAGACCTATAGATGTCGAGTGACCACGAGAATTCAACTGTGTGGCCAATGTGTGCCAAGCACTGTGACCAACATGGTAGAACTGAGGGCCTACAGATGCTGGGAGGAGCCCCGTTGGTGGAGTTGGTGCTCGCCCCATAACTCCTCTTATCCCCCGCTTCTTGTTCCAGGTCTACGGGGCGGCCATCCAGTTCTACGAGTCCTTCCCGCGCGAGTGCCTCTCTGAGCGCCAGTGCCTGCGGCTGAACCTGCTGACGGTGGTCGACCGACGGCCCATCACCAGCAAGTCGGTGCAGACGCGTAAGAGCATCTGTCTCCTCTCCCACTGGCCTTTCTTTGACGTCTTTCGCAAGTTCCTCACTTTCCTCTACCGCTACAGTATCTCGGGACCTCATGTGCTGCCACTCGAGGCGTAAGTCGGGGCAGACTGGCTGCAGCGCCGTTGCGCCTCCCCTTCCTGCTTTCGGTGTTCCGGCATTGCGACGAGGCTGCTTTGCATGTCCTTTGGTGTGAACAGCTTCTATCGGGAATTAGGAATATATCGGGAATTGGGAATATAATACTTTTATCGGTATTTGGGTACATAACATTTTTATCGGGATTCGGAAATGTAAGCTTTTCTTGGGATTTGAGAATACAACATTCATTGGGATTTGGAAATATATATTTTTAATAGGTAAATAAATGTTGTCAGGAGTTGGGAATGTACAATTTTATCGGACTCGGAAACATAAGATTTTTATCGGGATTTGGGGATGTATGCTTTTATCGGTATCTGGGAAAATAAGGTTTCCGCAGAATTTGGGAATATACATTTTTTTCGGGATCTGGAAAATAACCTTTCATCTGAATTTGGAGGATATAAGATGCTATTACAATTTGGGGATATAATGTTTTATTAGAATTTATTAATTAATTTATTAATTTATTTAAAGTATTTATATTCCGCCCTTCTCACCCCGAAAGGGACTCAGGGTAAATCACAGATCATACGTATGTGGCAAAACATCCAATGCCATTTTATGCACAAACAAGACAGACAATTGGACATAGGTAGAGGTATATATAGGGTTTCCCATCTTCGGCATCTTGGAGGCGATGCTCGGTCCCGACCACTGGGGGTGCTGTCGCTCCTTTTTTCCTTGCTATGTTCGTAACTTCCTCCATTGATCGAATATCTGGCATTTCTTATGGTTGCCTCAGAATACCTCCCCGCTTTTCAGCGGTACCTATTTATCTACTCTCATTTTGTAAATAAATAAATAAATAGTAAATTTAGTTTTACCGGGATTTTTAAATTATCTTCAGAATCCCTTGGGAGAAAATTGGGATGGGAAAGGCCCAGCGGGGATTGCAATTTCATTGTCTTTCTTCCCTGTGACTTCTTTGTTGCTCCTTCTAGGCACATCTCTCATTTCATGCACAATGTTCCCTTCCCGTCTCCGCAGCGGCCCCGGATCCTCGTTCAGGTGAGCACAAATGGCAGATGCAGACATCTTACCTGTTTTTTGGGAGATATGCAGAAAAATGCAGTTTTCTGTGCAGAAAAAATGCCATTTTCTGCACAAAAAAATGCCGTTTTCTGCGCAGAAAAATCCAGGTTTTGCGCAGAAATTGAATTTTTCACGTATAAAATGTTTCGAATTGCCACAGTACTTGCAAAATTCTAGAAGACGTGTGCAGATCAATTTTAGCTGTTTTCTTCGCCTTCTTCAGTTTGGTAGGCCGTAACGGCAAGGGTTTCCCGTGCATAACCACGTGGCAGCCAATCGTGGCTCCTCCTCCCCTACTCGGTGTCTTACGCAAGCTATATCTGCTTCCTTAACTCCATTGCTAGAGTCCCCGGTAGCGCAGTGGGTTAAACCCCTGTGCCGGCAAGACTGAAGATCGACAGGTCGCAGGTTCGAATCCAGGGAGAAGCGGATGAGCTCCCTCTGTCAGCTCCAGCTCCTCATGCGGGCGTCCCCTGGGCAACGTCCTTGCAGACAGCCAATTCTCTCACCCCAGAAGCGACTTGCAGTTTCTCAGGTCACTTCTGACACGGCAAAAAAAAACCCATCTAGTCTCTCGTCATCCTTTCTGCCTTTTTGATGGAAAGCATTCACAAATCAGCTTTAACACTTGTTATTTTTAATTTTCTTTGTGTCTCCGTAGATGTCTCCCTACGATAATTTGCTCCTGTGTCAACCAGTCTCCTCTCCGCTGCCTCTAAGGTATGTCTGGGTGTTGACCATAGAATTGCATTGGAGAATCTACAGATTTTTTGAGAGATTTTAAAAAATAATGGAGGAGTCATGTTTTTTCCACTTTTCTTGGGGTCCGGTTCACCTAAAGCTCCTCACAACTGTGGAGTCTACCACACTGTAAGGTTGAATGGTAGATTTGTGCTAAGACACAAAAGAGACATGCACAAGAAGTGGAAAAAGGGAGAAATCACCAAAGAAGAATTCAAACAAATAGCCAACACCTGTAGGGAAAAGGTCCGCAAGGCTAAAGCACAAAACGAGCTCAGGCTTGCCAGGGACATTCAAAACAATAAAAGGGCTTCTTTTCTTATGTCAGTAGAAAAAGGAAAAACAAGGAGGCGATAGGGCCTCTTCGAGGAGAAGATGGGGCAAAGCCCTATGAGGAGCGGCTTAAGGAGTTGGGCATGTTTAGCCTGAAGAAGAGAAGGCTGAGAGGAGACATGATAGCCATATATAAATATGTGAGGTCCCATGGACAGTGACATGCTGTGAAAACAGTACTGATAAAAACCACCTTCAACTTGCTTTTCCTCCCCATACCCCTCTTTTTGCAGTGGCGCCAGTTTCCTCACTCTGCTGCAGACTCTGGGCCCCGAAAACGCCGTCGCACTTCTGGTGGCCATTCTCACGGAGCAGAAGTTGCTCATCCATTCCTTGCGGCAGGACGTCTTGACCAGCGTGGGTGAAGCCTTGGTGTCGGTGAGTCCCGGTTAACTTTGATCCAGTCAAGAGAGTAGAGAACAATGGGGTACAGGATGCCTTTGGTGTGGAATTTGGGGTCAACAAATATGGACTATGGGCTACATTTGTTGTGAAAATCAGAGTCAAGAAATGATGGGGTACCTCTGGTATGATATTTGAGACCAACGAGTCTGGGGTATCTTTGGTGTGAAATTTGGGGTCAATTAACAATGGGGTACAAGGTATCTTCAGTGAGAAATGTAGGGTCAACAAACAATGGGATACGAAATCCCTTTGGCTTGAAATTTGGGGTCAACAAACAGTGGGGTACAAGGTACCTTTGGTTTGAAATGTGGGGTCAACAAACAATGGAATACAAGGTACCTTTGGTGTGAAATTTGGGATCAATTAACAATGGGCTACAGGGTATCTTTGGGGTGAAATTCAGGGTCAACAAACAACGGGGTACAATGTACCTTTGGTGTGAAATGTGGGGTCAACAAGGTACAAGGTACCTTTGGTGTAAGGTTTGGGGTCAATTAACAATGGGGTACGGGGTATCTTTGGTGTGAAATTTAGGGTCAACAAACAATGGGGTACAGGGTACCTGTGATGTGAAATTTGGGGTCAATGAGCAATGGGGTACAAGGTATCTTCAGTGAGATATTTAGGGTCAACAAACAATTAATATGAAATCCCTTTCGTGTGAAACTTGGGGTCGACAAACAGTGGGGTACAAGGTACCTTTGGCTTGAAATTTGGGATCAACAAACAATTGGGTACAAAGTATCTTTGGTGTGAAATTTAAGGTCAACAAACAATGGGGTACGAAGTCCCTTTCATGTGAAAAGTAGGGTCAACAAACAATGGGGTACAGGGTATCTTTGATGTGAAATTCAGGGTCAACAAACAATGGGGTACAACGTACCTTTGGTGTGAAATTTAGGGTCAACAAACAATGGGATACAAAGTACCTTTGGTGTGAAATTCAGGGTCAACAAACAATGGGGTACAAGGTAACTGGCTTGAAATTCGGGATCAACAAACAATGGGGTACAAGGTACCTTTGGTGTGAGATTTGGGGTCAATTAACAATGGGCTACAGGGTATCTTTGATGTGAAATTCAGGGTCAACAAACAATGGGGTACAAAGTACCTTTGGTGTGAAATTCAGGGTCAACAAACAATGGGGTACAAGGTAACTGGCTTGAAATTCAGGATCAACAAACAATGGGGTACAAGGTACCTTTGGTGTGAGATTTGGGGTCAATTAACAATGGGCTACAGGGTATCTTTGATGTGAAATTCAGGGTCAACAAACAATGGGGTACAAAGTACCTTTGGTGTGAAATTTGGGGTCAACAAACAATCAGGTACAAGGTACTTTTTGTTTGAAATTTGGGGTCAATTAACAATGGGGTACAGGGTATCTTTGATGTGAAATTCAGGGTCAACAAACAATGGGGTACAAGGTACCTTCGGCTTGAAATTTGGGATCAACAAACAATGGGGTACAAAGTACCTTTGGTGTGAAACTTGGGGTCAATAAACAATGGGGTACAAAGTACCTTTGGTGTGAAATTTGGGGTCAACAAACAATCAAGGTAGTTTTGTTTTGAAATTTGGGGTCAACAAACAGTGGGATACAAGGTACCTTTGGTGTGAAACTTGGGGTCAACAAACAATTGGGTACAAAGTACCTTTGGTGTGAAATTTGGGGTCAACAAACAATTGGGTACAAAGTACCTTTGGCGTGAAATTTGGGGTCAACAATGGGGTACAGGTTACCTTTGGTGTGAAATTTGGGGTCAACAAACAGCCTGTGGACCTCCCTTCCACCAGATGTGGCCGCGATCCATGGTCTTCAGCAGCCTTTATTTAATTGAGATAATTATCTCTATGGGCACAAAAGACACATTTGTGGAAGAAGAGTCACAACAATGTTCGCTGATGATATACTTTTCATCATGTAAGAACGTACCCCTCTTTTCATTTCTTTCCCTTTGCAAAAGACAAGAGTATTTCAACACCAGAATCCAAGCTCTCCACTAATATGGTGCCCTCCAGATATTCTGGAATTCAATTCCCATGAATGAAGGGAGCTGGAGTCTCTCGTTCCGGGAAAGTGTCACTGTGCCATGAGTGTGTCCTTTTTCACTTGATGGGTTTCCCCTCTACCTGAGCCCTTTGCTGCTTTCTCAGGTGATCTTCCCTCTCCGTTGGCAATGCCCGTACATCCCGCTGTGCCCGCTCACATTGGCCGATGTGCTCTGTGCCCCGGTGCCCTTCATCGTGGGTGTCCACTCCAGCTATTTCGACCTCCACGACCCCCCGCATGACGTCATCTGCGTCGATCTGGACACCAACACCATCTTCCAGTGAGTGCCACTGGCAGATGGGCCAGTCCTTGTGGGGTCCCCTCACTTAGGGTTTTGGTACCAAAGGGGTCTCGCATGGCTCTAGGTCCAATCCCTGGTTCATTCAGAACTCTTGATGGGTCCACTTAATCTGAAAGAGCATCCAGTCAAGGAGGGATGATGGATCATTTATTTCTGTGGCTGAGAAAAAGCAGGTTTTGGGGTACGGCCTCCGGGCCAGTTGGCAGGGGGCACTAACCGTAGGGGCAGCTTTGCTCCACATGCAGATGCGAGGAACGGAAGTTGCTGTCACCACGGTCGCTGCCCCGGAAACCATGCAAGGTGCTCTTGGCGTCGCTGCACTCCCAGTACCAGCAACTAGATGAAAGTGAGTACCGAGTGAGAATTAATAACTGGGGCAACTTATAGGGAGTGGTCAACCCCCTTGTTTAAGGAGCTCCATTTTCCGGTCCCAATTCAAGTACAACCCAATTCTGACTTTAGGTTTCGGACCGTTCATTTTCCGGTCCCAATTCAAGATTCAGGTTCTGACTTTGGGTGTGGGACCCGCCTACCTTCTCTCTCCATGAACCAGCCCGAACTCTTTGATCTTCGGGGGAGGCCCTCCTTTCGCTCTTGCCAGTTTCTCAGATTTGCCTTGTGGGTACAAGGGAGTACCTTGTGGGTACAAGGGAGGGAGCCTTCTCCTCTGTGGCCCCCCAACTCTGGAACTCATTGCCCGGAGAGATTAGGAAAGCCCCTACTTCAGAAACCTTTAAAAAGGACCTTAACACCTGGCTCTGCCGTTGCGCTTTTGGAGAGTAGTCACATATTCTTAACCTATTGCTCCCCTCAACGTCTTTGTCCTAGGAGTACCCCCCCCCCCCCCCCGTACGAAGGTCAGTCTATCACCCTATCTCTCTACAAGTTCTCACTCACAAATAATTCTGCTCCTTTATCTCACCCTGAGTTTTTAAAATCGGCCCGCTCACTGTTATTATATTTGGTTTCCCTTTTTTTGTATATTGTTTATTGTATTCTTATGTTTCGTACTATATTGCAATATTGTTTATTTTATTGTAACTTGTATCTTATTTTATTGTAATTTGTTGTTTGGGCTTGGCCTCATGTTAGCCGCCCCGAGTCCCCGTTGGGGGAGATGGTGGCGGGGTATAAATAAAGTTTATTATTATTATTATTATTATTATTATTAATAATTGCAGACATTCATTGTGGTGGTCAGAAGAGTGTCGTACTCCGGAGCAGAATCACCTCTGACTTTAACCACCACACCCACCTGGGTAACATCAGCAAGCAGTTTATTTAGGAATATTTTTAGCCAAAGCAATAAAAAATCCACAGTAAAAAAAAATCCAATTTAGTGCATCAGACACAAAGGAAGACAGGAACAAAGAGTCGAAGGAAATCCATGAAACTAGGCACTTCATGAACAATACAGAAGCATATCCCATAGACAAAACATGAACTAGGCAGACCTTGGTGCATAAAACTTGGCATTATCTTGAAGTTGCCTCAACTGAAGCAGTCGTCTCTCAATCATCATTATAAACTCTTCCCTGACTCCAAAACTGCTAGGAACGGATTCTTTCTTAGTTTCGGTTTACTATCTAACTTCCGTTGAATCTGAGCTGAGCGTCTTAATTGCTGCCCGGACTGCCTCTGTTATTGTTATTGTTACTACTATTGTTATTGTTATTGTTACTACTATACTGAACATTCCTTATCCGAAATATCTTGTTCCGATATAAATCAACCACATTTTCAGGACCATGAGGACAACAGTCTTATTTACTTCTCAACCCAGGTAGACATTGGTGCATGAAACTTGGCGTTATCTCAACGTTGCCTCAACTGAAGCAGTCGTCTCTCAAACATCATTATAAACTCTTCTCTGACTCCAAAACTGCTAGGAACAGATTCTTAGTTTCGGTTTACTATCTAACTTCGGTTGAATCCGAGATGAGCGTCTTAATTGCTCATCTGTTATTATTGTTATGGTTGTTGTTGTTATATTGAACATCCCTTATCCAAAATATCTTGCTCCAGTATAAATCAACCACGTTTTCAGTAGCATGAGGACTACAGTCTTATTTATTTCTCAACCCAGGTTGAACATCCATTCTCCCAAAACCCGGAAACCTATTGGAATTAATGAGGTTCGACACCACTTTAGCTGCCATGGCTCAATGCGACAGGATTCTTAGTTGTAGTTTTACAAGGTCTTTCACCTTCTCTGCCAAAGAGAACTGGTGTTGGACCAAACTACAACTCCCACTGTGCCATAGCATTGAGTCGTTGCAGTTCAAGTGATGCCAAACTGCATTAGTTCTACAGTGTAGATGCACCCCATGATGTTTTCTGGCCATGAACCCATCTGAACCAGCTTTTGCCTTTGCCAGATACAAAGGAAGACAGGAACAAAGAGTCCAAGGAAATCCATGAAACTGGGCACTTAAACCCATGAACAATATAGAAGCATATCCCATAGACAAAACCTGAACAGGGCAGACCTTGGTTGCATAAAAATTGGCGTTATCCCGACATTGCCTCAACTGAAGCAACAGTCTCTCAGACATCATTCCCTGACTCCAAAACTGCTCGGAACAGATTCTTTCTTAATTTCGGTTTACTATCTAATTTCTGTTGAATCCGAGATGAGCGTCTTAATTGCTGCCCAGACTGCCTCTGTTGTTATTGTTATTGTTACTATTATACTGAACATCCCTTATCCGAAATACCTTGTTCCGATATAAATCAACCACATTTTCAGGACCATGAGGACAACAGTCTTATTTACTTCTCAACCCAGGTAGACATTGGTGCATGAAACTTGGCGTTATCTCAACGTTGCCTCAACTGAAGCAGTCGTCTCTCAAACATCATTATAAACTCTTCCCTGACTCCAAAACTGCTAGGAACGGATTCTTTCTTAGTTTCGGTTTACTATCTAACTTCGGTTGAATCCGAGATGAGAGTCTTAATTGCTGCCTGGATTGCCTCTGTTATTATTGTTATGGTTGTTGTTGTTGTTGTTATGAACATCCCTTATCCAAAATACCTTGTTCTGATATAAATCAACCACGTTTTCAGTACCATGAGGACCACAGTCTTATTTACTTCTCAACCCAGGTTGAACATCCGTTCTCCAGAAAACCTATTGGAATGAATACGGTTCGACACCACTTTAGCTGCCATGGCTCAATGCGACAGAATTCTTAGTTGTAGTTTTACAAGGTCTTTCACCTTCTATGCCAAAGAGAACTGGTGCCGGACGAAACTACAACTCCCACTGTGCCATAGCATTGAGCCATTGCAGATCAAGTGATGCCAAACTGCATTAGTTCTACAGTGTAGATGCACCCCATGATGTTTTCTGGCCATGAACCCATCCAAACCAACCTTTGCCTTCTGCCCAATCCAGTGTACAATAGGCCGGTGGAAGAAGCCACCCTGGAATTTCTGCTGACCGATTACGACCTCATCTATGGGCGCCGGAAGCAGCTGGAACTGGACATCCAAGGGGCCTTCCTCCGCTTCATGGCTTGCCTCTTAAAGGGGTACCGCTCCTACCTCTTGCCTATCACCCAGGCTCCCTCTGAAAAGACCCGTGACTCCAGCAGTCTCTTCTATCTACAGGGTACGGCCGATCGCGTCTCCTTGCTTTGGGGTTAAAGCTGGAAGACACCCCCCCCCCCGGGTTGTGGATTCTGGGTTGTACAATACAAAAATATTAAGGAGACCCGGATCCCTCCATATCGGCGGACGATAGGTCACCTCTAGTACTTCTATGGACCTTGAGGACCTAGGACATGCCTGGAAAGGACATCTTTCTAAAATGTCTATGTCCTCCAGCATGATTCTGTGGTCAGCTTCTGTGGAATCACCTGGAGGAGCTAGAGAAGACACCTCTCTAGGTATTGCTAGGTCCCCCAAAATAAATCTATGGCCAGCTTTTGGCAAAGGAATACCATAGAAAAGACCTAGAGAAAACACCTCCCAAACAACTCTAGATCCTCTGAAGTAACTCTTAGGTCCACCTCGAGTAGCAACATAATATTGAATGGCTCTGCAAGAGTTACCCCCCTCCCTCCCTCGCTTGCTCACTCCCCCGCCCTCCCTCGCTTGTTCACTCACCTGCCCTCCCTCATTTGCTCACTCATCCACCCTCCTTCACTTGCTCACTCACCTGCCCTCCCTCGCTTGCTCACTCACCCACCCTCCTTCACTTGCTCACTCACACACCCTCCTTCACTTGCTCATTCACCCACCCACCCTCACTTGTTCACTCACCTGCCCTCCTTTACTTCCTCATTCACCTACCCTCCCTCGCTCACTCATCCACCCTAACCCGCTTGCTCATTCACCCACACTCCCTTGCTTACTCACTCAACCGCCTTCCCCCGCTTGCTCACTCACCCGTCCTCCCTCGCTTGCTCGCTCACCCGTCCTCCCTCGCTTGCTCACTCACCCGCCCTCCCCCACTTGCTCACTCACCCGCCTTCCCTCGCTTGCTCACTCACCTGCCCTCCTTCACTTTCTCATTCACCCAGCCTCCCTCGCTTGCTCACTCACCTGCCCTCCCTCGCTTGCTCACTCACCCACCCTCCCTCGCTTGCTCACTCACCTATCCTCCTTCACTTGCTCATTCACCCACCCTCCCTCATTTGCTCACTCATTCACCCTCCCCCGCTTGCTCATTCACCCGCTCTCCCTTGCTTGCTCACTCAACCACCTTCCCTCGCTTGCTCACTCACCTGCCCTCCCTCGCTTGCTCGCTCATTCGCCCTCCCTCACTTGCTCACTCAGCCCCCTCCCTCGCTTGCTCAACTCAGCTGCCCTCCCTTGCTTGCTCACTCACCTGCCCTCCCTCACTTGCTTGCTCACCCGCCCTCCCTTGTTTGCTTGCTCATCTGCCCTCCCCCGCTGCTCACTCACCCGCCCTCCCTCGCTCGCTTGCTCACTTACCCTCCCTCCCTCGTTCACTCACCCACCCTCCCTCACTTGCTCACTCACCCGCTCTCCCTCGCTTGCTCACTCTCCTGCCCTCCCTTGCTTGCTCACTCACCTGCCCTCCCTCGCTTGCTCATTCACCCACTCTCCTTCGTTTGCTCACTCATCGGGCCAGGTCCCGGTGGTAGAACCAGGACTCGGCCCAGTGAGTAGTGAGTGGGCGGGGGGGGGGGTGAGCGAGTGAGCAAGGGTGGCAAAGGCAGTGGCAGAAGCAGGGGCCTGGCCACCTCTTCCGGGCTCTTGCTTCTGCCGCTTCTTCCGCCTATGCAGCCCTCCTTCCCTCATTTGCTCACCACCCACCCTCCCTCGCTCGCTACTCACCAAGCCGGGTCCCGATGGCAGAACCAGGACTCGGCCCAGTGAGTAGCAAACAAGCTAGGGAGGACGAGTAGGTGAGCGAGCAGGCAAGGGAGGGCTGCTAAGGCGAAAGCAGCTCTGCTGTATATAGCGTTCCTACTTCACGGATTCTGGAACGTAACACCCGCAATAAGTGAGGGAACACTGTATAGCAGAAATATTCTGGCGAGGTCTTCTCCAACGTTCTTCTATTCCAAGGTGGCCCACTTCAGATGTTTCCCCCTTCCACCCAGACCCATCGTGGGCTTCCCTAGACACCAAAAAATGTGTTTATTTTTGAAATGGTTTATTCAAATTGAGTAAAATGAGGTATACGTGTTATCTCGTGTAGGCTTCCTGAAATCCCGAGATCGCGCCTACCACAAGTTCTATGGGCAGCTCTTGCGCACCCAGCTCTTCACACAGTTCATCGAGGAGTGTTCCTTCGTCAGCGACCGACACACCTGTCTGGAGTTCTTCGACTCCTGCGTTGAGAAGGTGACTCAGAAAGGGGACCAAGTAGAGATAGCTCACCTGGGACCAGGTTTTCATGGAGGACGTTGGCTTTGGGCTGGTCAACACATGGCTTCCCAAGGACAGTCTGCTCTCTGCGTTAATATGGCTTCTCTAGACATCTCCAGTATCTCCCTAGGAATTTCTAGGTCTTCTAGTATGACTCTGTGGTCAACTTCCAGCAATGGAGTCTCACTGGAGGATGTAGAGATCCCTCAAGAGATGTTCTCTCTGGTATACAAAAACAGCAGTTGACTTCTCCAGATTTGGTTACTTACAGATTTGATTAAAGGGATCTCTAGGTTCTCCAGGGTAATTCTGTGGTCAGTTGTCCCTAGAGTTGTGCCGGAAGACTTGGACATTCCCAGAGAACAGTTCTTTCAGGTTGACCATAGCGTAACACTGGAGAACCTCTAGAAAACATGACCATGGAGTCATACTGGAAGACCTAGAGATTCCACTTTAGGACTCTCTAGGTCTTCCAGTGTGATTCTTTGGACAACTGAAGTTGACCATGTACTTGGGCTGGAGAACATAGACATTCCTATGGAGATGTCCTTTGGGAAAAGTCGGATCATGGAGTCATTCTAGAAGACCTAGAAATTCCAAGAACGAGGTCCTCTGGTTAAAATATAGCATTTTGATTTATATTTTCCCTCCTTTTATGGGGTTCCTATGCTTCTAACCACAACCAATGTGGAGGGATGACTATATTGGGCAAATGGAGGGTGCCACCCCTGAGAAGGCCCTGGGTCCATGCATCCAAGCAAATGGTACTTGTAGATCTGCTGCTATGCCGTTTGGGCTGATGCAGCTTCTCTTGACTGAATCTGTGTCTACTCAGGTGCAGGTAGACCTGGAGAAACCTGAGGAATTGCCCCTGATTGAACTGGACGACACGCACGGCAGCGAGCATACTGTTTTCATCATGCCTCCCGAAGAGCCCACCGGACCCAATGGCACCGAATTGCCACCCTGTTACCAGTGAGTCTCCTTCCAGTCTTTCAGTTGTAATGATTCATGTCCCATCTGGTGCCTTTATTAGGATATCTCCTCCTTGTCTTGCTCTAAATGGCTTAGGACTGTTCAAGAACTGTTCGACTGGTCTGTGTCACTCCACGCAACCTGAGAGGACATCTCTCTGGGAATTTCTAGGTTCCCCAGCATGGCCCTATAGTCAACTTCAGAGGTCATCTTTTAAGGTCCCCCAGCATGTCCCTGTTATCAACTGTTCTATGTCCTTTACACAACCCTATGGTCAACTTGAGAGGACATCTCTCTGGAAATTTCTAGGTCCTCCACCATGGCCCTATAGTCATGGTTCTATGTCCTTCTACACAATCCTATGGTCAACTTGAGAGAACATCTCTCTGGGTATTTCTAGGTCCCCCAAGATGACCCTTTGGTCAACTGTTCTGTGACCTTCTAGACATCTCTGAGAATTTCTAGGTCCCCCAACATGGCCCTATAGTCAACTTCAGAGGTCATCTTTCAAGGTCCCTCAGCATGTCCCTGTTCTCAACTGTTCTATGTCCTTTACACAACCCTATGGTCAACTTGAGAGGACATCTCTCGGAATTTCTAGGTCCCCCAACATGGCCCTATAGTCAACTTCAGAGGTCATCTTTCAAGGTCCCCCAGCATTGCCGTATGGTCAACTGTTCTATGTCACTCTACGCAACCCTATGGTCATCTTGAGAGGACATCTCTCTGGGAATTTCTAGGTCCCCCAACATGGCCCTATGGTCAGCTGTTCTATGTCACTCTACACAGGTCCCCCATCATGACCCTGTGGTCAATTGTTCTATGTCCTTCTACACAACCCTATGGTCAATACATGGCTTCCCAACACATGGCTTCCCAGGACATCTCTCCGGTAATTTCTAGGTCCTCCAGCATGGGCCTGTGGTCAACTGTTCTATGTCACTCTATGCAACTCTGTGGTCAACTTGAGATGACCTGACTCTGGGAATTTCTCGGTCCCGCAGCATGGCCCTATGGTCAACTCTTCCATGTCCTTCTACACGATCCTATCGTCAACTTTATAGGACATCTCTCTGAGAATTTCTAGGTCCTCCAACATGGCCCTATGTTCAGCTGTTCTATGTCACTCTACGCAGCCCTATGGTCAACATGAGAGGACATCTCTCTGGGAATTTCTAGGTCTCCCAATATGGCCCTTTGGTCAACTGTTCTATCACCTTCTACACAGCCATATGGTCAACTAGAGAGGACATTTTTCTGAGAATTTCTAGGTCCCCCAACATGGCCCTATGATCATGGTTCTATGTCCTTCTACACAATCCTATGGTCAACTTGAGAGGACATTTCTCTGAGAATTTCTAGGTCCCCCTACATGGCCCTATGGTCATGATTCTATGTCCTTCTTGACAACCTATGGACAACTTGAGACAACATTTCTCTAAGAATTTCTAGGTCTTCCACCATGGCCCTATGGTCATGGTTCTATGTCCTTCTTGACAACCTATGGTCAACTTGAGACGACATTTCTCTGAGAATTTCTAGATCCTCCACCATGGCCCTATGGTCATGTTCTATCATCTTCTACACAACCCTATGGTCATTCTCTCTGGGAATGTCTAGGTCCCTCAGCATGGCCCTATGGTCAAGTGTTCTATGTCCTTCTATATAACCCTATGTTCAACTTGAGAGGACATCTCTCTGGGAATTTCTGTGTCCTCCAGCATGGCCCTATGGTCAATCTTAGAGAACTTCCTTTTTCCAGAAATCCAGAGAACTTCAAAAACCAAAAGGGACTGGATATGTAACTAGCCCCCTTTCCCCTTCTGTCTTTTGGGGAAAGGGGGCTAGTTACACATTCAGTCTCTGCAAGTTTTTTTTTTTTTACTCCATGACAGTGGTTCTCAACCTTCCTAATGCCACGACCCCTTAATACGGTTCTTCATGTTGTGGTGACCCCCGACCATAACCCTAACATTATGAATTGCCATATAAATAATGATGTTCAGGATGTATTTTGATTCACTGGAGCAAATTTGGTACAAATACCCGGTATGCCCAAATTTGAATACTGGTGGGGTTGGGATGGGAGGATTGATTTTGTCATTTGGGAGTTGTAGTTGCTGGGATTTATAGTTAACATGTAAACAAAGAGCATTCCGAACCCCACTAACAATGGAATTGAACCAAAGGTGGCACAGAGAACTCCCATGACCAACAGAAAATACTGGAATGGTTTGGTGGGCACTGACCTTGAGTTTGGGAGTTGTAGTTCGCCTACATCCAGAGAGCACTGTGGGCTCAAACAATGATGGATCTGGACCAAACTTGGCACGGATACCCAATATGCCCAAATGTGATCACTGATGGTGTTTGGGGAAAATAGACTTTGACATTTGGGAGTTGTACTTGCTGGGATTTATAGTTTACCTACAATCAAGGAGCGTTCTGAACCCCACCAATGATAAAATTGGGCCAAACTTCCCACACAGAACCCCCATAACCAACAGAAAATACTGTTTTCTGATGGTGTTTTGCGACCCCTCTGACACCCCTTCGTGACCCCCCCAGGGGTCCCGACCCCCAGGTTGAGAAACACTGCTCTATGACAAGGTACCTGCAGTCATGGGCAGAGAAGACTAAATACCTTGTGAAATTACAGTTGCCAGGGTTCCATAGCATTGAGCCATGGCAGCAAAAGTAAAGCCAAACTGCTTTAATTCTGTAGTGTAGATGCGCCCTTATGTCATGTCTCTTCATTCCCAGATATGATGGCTTCCCGAAGCTCCAGCCCAAACTTTTTGAGCGCCCGCAGGACCAGCTTATGCCTTCACTCTGCCAAGCCCGGAGTAGCGCTCCCAGCAGCCCCGCACCTCGCAGGACCAAACAGGTATGAGGCGTAGGTCGTCCATACTGTCACCTGAGGGGACCTGGACATTGCTAGAAACCAGACACTTAAATCGATGTCTCTTCTAGGAGATGAAGGTGGCCCAGCGGGTGGCACAGAAGTATTCCTCCGTGCCCGATATGTGGGCCAAGTGTTTGCTGGGACACTGCTACGGTTTGTGGTTCATTACGCTCCCCAACTACGTGCGCGCCGCCCCGTCGAAGGTCCGGGCGCTTCAGACAGCATACGAGGTGCTCAAGCAGATGGAGACCAAGAAGGTGGTCCTGCCAGATGAGGTACTTCAACCGTAAAGCCGTTCACGTTATTTCCCTTCATGCGTAAGGTCTTCCATGTTGTCTTGAAGTCATCCATCATCCATAAAGTCGTCAATGTTATCTTTCGTTGGAGACTTCTGAACAAATCTCTGAGGATGCTTGCCACGGTTGTAGGCGAAACGTCAGGAGAGAATGCTACTGTCAGAAAAACTCACAACAACCCATGTTATAGTATGTGATTTGTAAAGTCATCCATGTTATTTTACATTATCCACAAGGTTGCCCATGTTATTTTATGTTATCCGTAAAAGTATCCACCTTACCTTATGTTGTCCGTAAAGTCAGCCATGTTGTTTTCACCTCCAGTACTAAATTTCTCGTTAAAAGAATTCAGTTCCATGAACACACTTACTTTCCTAATTGTGGGTCTTAATTCCCAAGGTTTGCTACCGGATCCTGATGCAGCTGTGCGGACAGTATGGCGAACCCATCCTCTCGGTCCGAGTGTTGCTCGAGATGAAACGAGCCGGCATTGTACCCAACACAATCACTTACGGCTACTACAACAAGGTGCTCACCTCACATTTGGATCTAATTTCTTTTACTTTTGTAGTCTAGCAAGCATCAGAGGACTTTTCTGACTTTTCAGGGGATGAGTCGGTCGGGAGTGATGGGTTTCAAAGTGAAGAGTCTGTGAGCAATTGGAGAGAATTGCAGGCAGATGAGGGTGATGTTTTGGATTCTTCAGCGCATTCCCAGACAACAAGGGAAAATGAAAGTACCAGTTCCCTGGAGAAACAGTCTTGGGACAGTGGGGAGGTTTCAAGAGAACATAGATTAGACCTGAGAACGCAGGGGTGAAAAGTCGGCAAACTAGGATGTTCTCAGTGATAAGGCCCAGAGATCCAGGTGTGCGAGACATGATGTTATGGGTGGCTTGGAGAGCTTAAATTAAGTGGGTTGTTTTCAGGCTTTTCAGAGGAGGCAACGTTGTTAAAGGAAATCGTTCTCCTATTTCTGCTCTCAAGTTCAAGTATTCTCAAGTTTCCTGTTCCTGTTTATGCCTTTGTTTCCTTGAAGAGTTACTTTGGGAAAGTTCCTGTTTTGGGTTAATTTTGTGGTTTTTTCATTTCTTGACTTTATGTTCCTTGACATTTTTGGATGACTGCTATTTTGTATTTCGTATTCCCAAGGTGGCATTCAAAGCAGAATGTCAATATTTATTGCATCCCTAGTTATAATTCCCATTTAACAGCGATATATCCCCCGCTCTTTCGATAATTACTTTGTATGTCTTGACTGTTCTCCACCGTTTTCTATATCAATATGTGTTTCTCCCCTCTTTTATGTTCCAGGCCATTTTGGAGTGCAAATGGCCATCGACAACCCAAGGTGGCCGCCTGCGTTGGGCCAAGTTGCGTAATGTGGTGCTGGGGGCGGCGCAGTTCCGACAGCCTTTGCGCCAGAGGCAGCGCGATGCAGAATCACAGAGTATCGGCACCCGGTCAGGTAGGAGTGTGCTTATTTATTTCTTTATTTATTTACTTTATTTGTATACCGCAGTTTCTCAGCCCGTAGGCGACTCAACGCGGTTAACAACAAGAGCAAAAATTCAATGCTAACAACATACACTATTTAAAAACAATTAACACCATAGTATACTAAGTAATTACACATCAATAAACAACACATTAACATCTCGTAACTAGAATCGTGATCCAACTCGTCATCCGTAATTCCGTTTTCCTATATTCTTTATATTCATTGCACTGCTTATCCGAACGCCTGTTCAAATAGCCAGGTTTTCAGTTTTCTTCGAAACACCATTAACGAGGGGGCTGATGTAATGTCCATGGGAAGGGCGTTCTACAGCCGAGGGGCCACCACTGAGAAGGCCCTGTCCCTCGTCCCCGCCAAACGTGTCCCTCGTCCCCGCCATGTATGATGAAGGGGGCTATTGTTGCACTCCAGGTCAGGAAAAAGCCCTCTGACTTTAAAACACACCAGAAAGAAATCTTCTTTTATTGACGCGTAGTAAATTGCCAGAAGAAATAAATGCTTGTAAGAAAATAAGAAAGTTCCAAAAAGTAAAAAGTCCATTAAAAAATAGTAACACAAAGCAGTGTCCACACCAGATATAAAAGCAATCCAAGACAGCATATCACCAGACAGGAATCAACAGGATGCAAAGACAATCCAAAATTTATTTATTTATTTATTTCAGGTATTTTTACCCCGCCCTTCTCAACTCCCAAGGGGGGACTCGATGCCTACAATTCAACACATATTCGATGCCTACAATTCAACACAATAAATAACATAACAACATTAAACATCAGTAGTTAAAACATTAAATTAATGCAATAAAATCTCCTAAAAGGTCAGCCTGGTGGCCATCGTTTCGCCAGTACACGAGTCCATTCAGCATATCGTAATCCGTTTCCAAAGCTTTTAGTCGTCATTGTCCTTATCAGTCTGCCTGATTACCCAAAGGCCTGCTCCCATATCCCTGTATTTCATTTCCTTCTAAAAGAGAGGAGGGATGGCGATGATCTAATTTCCCCGGGGAGTGAATTCCACGGGCGAAGGGCCACCACCGAGAAGGCCCTGTCCCTCGTCCCCGCCAGTCTCATTTGTGACAAAGGCGGGGCCGAGAGCAGGGCTCCTCCAGAAAATCTTAAATTCCTAGGTGGGACGTAGAAGGAGATACGTTCGGACAGGCCAAAAAACTCCACAGGAACAAGACCCCTTGAACAGGATTACCATGGCACATGAACTTGATTTCCAAATGATGCCTGATCTAACAGGTTTCCCCTTGAGGCAAATCTTATATCCCAAAACTCAGAAATTGGTTTCGCTTTCTCCCACATTTATGCCTTATCAGCCGAAGCCTTTCAGAGCGACGTAAAAACTGAGTTTGCTGTCGGTCCTGGCTAATCTCCAGCCGCCTATTCTTCAGCTCCCTATCTGGCTTGTGCTGGTACGGCTGTACCAGAAGCTCAAATTTCCTTTCTTTGCATGGTTAATTGTTTGTGTTTGATTTGGCCATACCTTTTGCCGCTGGGTGGTTCCTTTTAGGCTGCAGTTATGGGGCCTGCCACCTGCCTATCATCATTACATTCTTTAGTTCCGCCCCTTTCCCCAGGGTTCAGGAAGGAAAGGGAGCCATTTTAGCTCAGTCTTGCAGTTGAAAGCTTAGCTACAGGACGTGAATCAGCTTCACCTGTAGAGAAGCTTCGTTTCTTACGAAATTCTGGGGGAAAACAGTTCCAAAGGACTCCAGCTGGAGAATCTATAAAGCCGTGACTGGTAGGTCTACTCGGGACCCAAGAAGTAGCTTGGAACCGGGAGTAGAGCCCACACCAGCAAAGTTTAGAAAGTAGATCGCCCAAGGAGGGGTTAAAAAGGGTTTTCCTCTTAAAGAAAAGAAACAGTTAAAGAAACAGTTCACGAAGCCAGTTGCCTGTCCCTTGTGGACAAGATTAAGAAAGCCACCAGTTGATTCAAAGCCTTGAAGTATTTGTTTGACCTGTTGAAGATCTGAGAACTATTTGATTGTTTTTGACCTAAGCAATATTAAAGAACTTCGTTAAACTTTTCAAGCTTCTAAAGACTTTTGTATAGGAAAATCCTTACAACGTTTCAGCTGAGGCACCCGGCTTCCCGCTGGGCACAAAGAGCGCATCCTGTTCAAAAGCCAATTGCTATAGGCCCAGCGCGTGACAGCACAGGCTGCTCATTAAAATTCCCAGGTGTCAGATTGTTTTCCAAACCCAAATCTTGAGAGGTCACAGAGAGAGGGAGTGAACCATCATTGCTAAGCCCAGCAGGGATAGTCTCATGAGAAACTGCCCTTTGCACTGGGGCCTCTCTGTCATTGTCTGCCTGAAAATCATTGACCAAACCATCTCCATCTTGTACCTCAGCCTCAGCACCATCATTTCCCTCATCATTTCCCACATCAGGATCCTGAAACACAAACACAGGCTGATTCCCAACAGCTATGGGTTTAGTAGGCGGCCCATGATCCGAAGGAGAGTCATTTCAAGGGGGAACTCATTTCAGAGAAATTACCAGAAGGTGCCTCGTGTGTAAAGGCATCTGTAGTGAATCTTACCTAGTAGGCCGGAGAAGAAGCCTGGATAACAGTATGGCAGACCTCCATTTTGAGAGTGTATGCCAGGGAAGCAGCCATCTTGAGTGGGGATAGATAGAAGATGGGAAGAGTTTGAGGTCTCCTGGGATTGGCTAGAGCAGATGAGAGGAACCAAGGCTTAGGAGGGGAAAGATTTTCAGCTTCTGGGAGTTGGGAACTGGGAGCTGGTGAGGAAAGAAGTGTTTTTTGAAACTAGGTTTTGAGTGAGAGAGCGTCTGTGTCAGGGAGGGCTGATTAGCTGACAGGAAAGGTCAGACAGCAACCTGATTTCTTGTGGGAGATAGCACAAGGGACTAGCTCTCTGAGTTATTTAGCTGTAAGAACTCTGGGGAGTTAGCTAATAACGCAGGGGACTACCTACCTGCGTGACCACATCTCCGTCTACGAACCCACGCATTCACTTAGTTCATCTGGAGAGGCCCTGCTCGTGATCCCGCCTGTGTCGCAAGCGTGTTTGGTGGGCACACGAGACAGGGCCTTTTCTGTGGTGGCCCCCCAACTCTGGAACACCCTCCCCAAAGATCTTAGACAGGCCCTACATTGGCAGTCTTTAGAAAGAACTTGAAGACCTGGCTGTCCCGATGTGCCTTTCCAGAATAGGAAAACTCCAACAACAAGTCCCAGAAGCACTTTATTAGAAATTAAGATTGCTGCACACTGCATTTACCCTATAAGCCTTACATATCACCTGCCACATCAGCACTTTTAATCTGTACCCATTACTCTGGCCCGGCCCAGTTCTATTGTGTCCTGGTGTATTGTTTATTGCTTGTTGTTTAATATTGCTTTAACTGTTTTTAATTTGCTTTAGGTTGTGTATTGTTATGTTGTGTTTTGAGGCCTTGGCCTTTGTAAGCGGCATCGAGTCCTTCGGGAGATGCTAGCGGGGTACAAATAAAGTTTAATAATAATAATAATAATAATAATTATTATTATTATTATTATTTAGCTGGAAGAACTCTGGGGAGTTAGCTAATAACTCAGGGGACGACCTAGGATAGGTTAGTCAGAAACTCATTACTATTTCTCTGAAGTAGAGTGAGGGATTTTTGTAACCAGCAGCTAGATTGGTTTGATTAGCTCTGTATGTAACTAAGTGAAGGAACTTATTTGAAGCAACCATCAAGCTATACTACTTTTGTAACAAGTCAAGCGTTTTGTGTCTCTCTGAAGAAGTTAGTTGTCTGTCTTTATAAATAAATCTTTTTCTATTTAACTTTCGAAAAGGTCATTATTGTTCTTCAATCTGTTAGCAATCCTTTGTGATAGTTCTAGTCACTTTGACCTCCTGACACCACAGAAAAGTCTCTTACCTAAACGGTCATTTTGGGAGCCAGGGAAGAAGCTGTGTGGGCAGGGGTGGGAGGGGTTTACCTCAGAGACTCATTTTAAGGATCCTGGGACATCTTGGGTTGGTGGCAGCTTTTGAAACAGAAGAAGACTGGCAGACTAGCAGTGTTCATTCTGCCATTGCACACATCTAACATCAACTCGCTACCATACTATTGTCCCGTGGTGTGATATTACTTATAATCCTTTACAATGGTGATCAGCTGTGGGATACATTATAGTATATCGTTTGATCCTTTATACTGGTGACAAGTGGCGTGATTTATTATAGTATAAACGTTGTACATTCTCTGTAGCATCCAATCAAAACCAGTGATTACTGATAGCCTTTTCCTCTGTGTTTTGTTGCCAGAGGGCCGAGGCACAAAAGCATCCAGTTCGCGGTCCCGTTCCAATCTGCATCGGCAGACCACTTGGTCCGGGGGCAGCTTGACCGAGACTCTCCCCTGCACCTCTTTGGTAAAGAGCGGCAGCCTCAGTTTCCCTCAGCGCGAGACGGAAGCCGGAGCAACCCCAGGTGAGCGAAAGGAAGACTTTACCCCTTAAGTGTCCCAAAACTGTGTCGTGGGATGAGTTCGTGAAATCTATATATATAAATTTGTTAGGGGCATCCAACGGAGCAACAAAACTCAAAAAAACCCCAACGAAACTTAACCAAAATTCCCATGCCCATAACACAACCCACAAGGTACAATCATATCTACTCAAAATGAAAAACAACACAACAATACACTCACAAAACAGCAAAACAACTGAGCATGCGCATTGGTGCCCAGCCGCAAGTTCCCTGGTGCGCGCACACGGCCTTCCGGCCAACATTCCCTCTGCGGAAGCCATGCCCACTCCAAGCCCCACCGCGCCGCTTACCGCACACACACACCCCCTGCCGCACACACACACACAACCCCACACTCCATCACTCCCCCCGCCGCCGCACACACTCCCCACCGGTAAGACACGCCCCCTTCCTTCGCCTCCCACCCCTTCCCTCCCTGTGTCACTCCTTCCCTCCTCCCACTCCCTGCCAGTAAGACATGCCCCCTCCCTCCCTTCCCCCCCACCCCTTCCGTCCCTGTCTCACTCCTTTCCTCCTCCCACCCTCCGCCGGTAAGACACGCCCCCTCCCTTCGCCGCGGCGGGCCCAATCACACTCACGCCGGTAAGACACACCCCCTTCCTTCCCCCCCACCCCTTCATTGCATTATTGTTATTGTTATGATGGTGGTAAAATAAAAGGAAATAAAAAGTGAAAGAAGGAAGGAAACAGGGAGGGAAGAAAGGCAAAGGAAGAAAGGGGGAGGGAATGAAGGAAAGAGAGAAGGATGAAACCAAGTAGTGAAAGAAGGAAAAAAAAAGAGGTAGAGAAGGAAGAAAGGAGAGAAAGGGGGAGGAAAAGGGGGAAGGAATAGGTAGGTACCTCTCTTTCATAATAGTCCAGATATCTACCTCTACTTCGAAAAGATTTCCTATAGGCCACAGCAACTCGTGGCAGGGTACAGCTAGTTATTTATAGTTTCCAAATCATGACCTCTTAACCACTGCGCTCTGGATAGCAAGTGTCCCAGAAGCAAGCAAAACGCAGCTGCATCCTTTCCCAGCAAAACACGCTATTAGCAGACTCCAACTACAAGCATTTGACCTTACCTACACACTTGTGCCGTCACACCCAGACACTATAAAGTTAAAACTAAGATATGCTTCTCTCTTTATCCGGGTGAACTGCGGGTGCCTTTCTTAGAAGCTCAAGATTCCCAGCAACTGAGGCCTCGCCAGATTTGAACATCAAACAGAACATTTATTTCTCAAAGTCCTTGACAGACTCGGCACAGCTTGATGAAGTTACAAACACAAACAGTCAATTTAGGAAACCTGTCAGAGTTCAGCGATGCCCAGCGGAAGGAATGCTAGATCAGCAGACACTGAGTTGCAAAATAAGGACTCTGCAGGCTTTGAGTTACAAAAGAAACTAAGTTTGCTAAGCACATTCAACAGACACGTCTTACTACAGCGAGCTACAATTCAGGAACTAGTCAAAACGAAAGCCTCTTCACATCTGCTTATCTCTTCTCTTGCTGAGAGTGGCTACTCCCTTCTGTTCCCAGCAAGAGCAAACCTTATCTTACTTTTCTCAAGTTCACATAATCACAGCCTCATGGTGTAAACATTCTGCACAGCATTTCTAATTCACAGTGGCATCCATATTTGCAATACATAGAAGCACATTTAAAACACAGACATAACTAAATTAATTCTGACAAAACCATATAGATGTTCTTTCTTTCCCTTTTCCTTCAGTTGCCGAGTTAACTTTCTCCCAACGGTAGAAAAATCCTGGGATCTTTTACCCTATCCCTGAGCTGCTATCTTTCAGAAAGAGCAGGTCTTCCCCTATCCAAGCTCAAGATTAGTTTTGGAACTGAAGTAATGGAGCCTCTCCCAGAGAAATCCTGAGATATTCCCTGTCCTAGCGCTGTTACAACTCAGAGTAAGCTTCACCTTGCTTCCAAACACCACCACACGAGCTGTAGTTTTATAGTTTATTGAGGGGAAAATCCAAGTCAAAATAAAGAATAAGCATTGCAAAGTCCCAGAGATTAAGGTTAAATGCAGAATATAGTTCCAGAGATCTTCAGGTAAAAGCAGGAGACACAATCCTATTGGTAAAGTTCAAACCAGAGCCCCGGGTACAAGCAATGAAACAATTGCCCAAGAATCACAATGCAAGAAATCCCAAGCGTACTGCTTTCCAGGCTAAGGTTATTCCGTGAAGCTTTCAGGCTAGTAAGCTACGTTGAACTGACACTTTCTCAGAATTTGCAAGAAGCCTAAATACCTATCTAACATGAAAACATTAGGCTCTCATCATCATAAAAGCATTGCAATGACCTTTCACCGAACTGGCTTCTCGTCTGCCGGCCAGACGAGAACTCCACCTGACCCTCAGATCAAGACGAGCTTGCCGGGTCAAGTCACTATCTACACTTTCGGTATCAGCGTGGGAAGGCACCTGCTCGCTATCTCCTTCGTTCAAATTCCTTTCTACTGGGAACGGCTGTGTTGACACTGCACTGTCTGTGAGAGCCTCGGAAGCAGGCTCAGAGATTTGAGGCACAGACAAAGAGCCAGGAAGCTGAATCCCAGCAGGAATCTGAATCCCATCATCCTCATCATCAGGAAATAGCTCAGCCACAACAAGCACTGAGTTACTATCCTTTAGAAAGAGCAGGTCTTTCTCTATCTGAGCTCAGCACCAGTTTCAAAGGCAAGAGGATACTCACAACGGCCTGCCCGAGCTGCCTAGCTTGGCCACCAGCACATCTGAGGCTTTTTTTTCTATACTAAAGGCAGGAGAGCTTCTCCGAAATGGAGATCTCATCCCCAGGGAAAAGGATACTTTTTTGAACCTATATATATAGGTTCAACAGACAAGGAACAGACAAGGAAGATGTTGCAATAGAATAGGAGGCCGGACACTGAATTAATGAGCTGATAACAGTGGGGTATAAATAGAGCAGACGCCATTCTGTCTTTTTGCTCTTTTCCCTTGCATCTGACTGTGCTAACAATTCATTGCAATAAGTGTTATTGCAATGAATAAAATGTAAATAAAGATTAGAGCCGCTACCGAAGCAGAAACAACTGTCTGAAGTCCGTTAATTGCGTGATAAGAAGCAAGTTGGCCAGCAAATTGCATTGATATTCCTTCCCACTGAGGTGGTGCCTATTAATCTACTCACATATGCATGTTTTCGAACTGCTAGATTGGCAGAAGCTGGGGCTAACAGCAGGTGCTCACCCCGTCCTGCGGATTTGAACTGCCAATCTTACTGTCAGCAAGTTCAGCAGCTTAGTGGTTTAATCAGTTGCACTACTGTTACCCTTTTTGCCATACACCTCACATGGTTGTGACTCAGCCATTATCACATCCAATAATAATAATAATAATAATAATAATAATAATAATAATCTTGCCATGTCTTATCTGATCCTCCCAAATCTGCAACGGTCTTCTCCCTTGCGTATTTCAGCAACAAAAGCCTTGGCTGAGCCTCCCAGCGGAAGCAGCGAGACCCTCCCCGCTTTGCCCGCTTGGCTACGAGGCCGAAGGGACGGCCCCGGAAGCTCAGAAGAGGGCAGCCTCTCGGACGTCAGCAGCTTCCCGACGGACGAGAGCGACCGCTTGACCCTCAGTAGCGTGGACACCCAGCCTGGGTCGAGGCAGCAAGAACGATCCTCGTCCGAAACCCGAGGTCTGGGGGGCACACCGCGCCGAAGCCTGTCCGCCAAGCTTCACCAGCTGCTGCTGTCGCCCATCAAGCGGCCATCGCTGAGGAACGTTGCTGCGACCACGACTGTGGAACATCCGCATCCACGTCCCGGGTCAGAACAGCGCGATCTCCCGCCTCGCCGTAGCCCGCTGGAGAGCCACTTGCTGCTTCCTCGCGAGCGTCCGGGCTCCACAGCCTCTGAGGTAAGTACCATTGGCACAGATCCCAACAAACAAGTGTCTAAAGGTGTTCGGGGTTCGGAAAATTGAAATGCCTCCTTTCCCTTTGGCGACAGAGCTCGGTGTCCCTGGGCAGCGAATATGATCTCTCGGATAACTCGGTCTGCAGCTTCAACCTCCGCAAATCCAGCGACCAGCTTTCAGAGTCTCCAGCAGTTAAGGTAGATCCCGGTACCTGAAAACCAGAGAATGAGAAGGGCCAACTCGGTGCCGTGCACAAACATCCACTACAAACGCAACCCTAAGAGTTGTGGGGCCCAATTCCATGTTAAAGTGAAGGAAAACCCACCCCTCTTATTTATTACGTACGTAAAATATTTCTAGCCCACCTTCTACCTGAAGATCTCAGATAGGCTTACAAGAAAACTAGCAAAAGTGGTTTTAGAAATCTGGATGTGTCTCCTTGGGCTCTTTTCTCAGGCCCTCCTCTCTCACGCCATCCTATCCTATCCTTCCTTCCTTCCTTCCTTCATCTATCCATCCACCCATCCTTCCTTCTCTTTCTCCCTTCCTTCCCTTCTTCCCTTCCAATTTTTGTCTTTCCTTCCTTCCTTTTTCTCCCTCCTTCCCTTTCTCTCTTTCTTCTTCCTTCCCTTTTGTCTTTTCTTCTTTCCCTCTTTCCTCCCTCCTTCCCTCTCTCTCTTTCTCCATTCCCTCCCTTCCTTCCTTCCTTCCCTCCCATCCACCCTTTCATTCTTCCTTCCTCTCTTTCCTTCCTCCTTCCCTCCCTTCCTCCCTCCCACCGTTTCGTCCTTCTCTCCCTCTTTCTCCTTCCTTCCTTTCCTCCCTCCCTCCCTTTTGTTCTTCTCTTTCTTTACTTCCTTCCTTCCATCCATCATCCACCCATCCCTTTCATCCTTTCTTCCCTCTTTCCTCCCTCTCTCCCTCTTTCTCCTTCCTTCCTTTCTTCCTTTTGTCCTTCCTTCTCTCCTTTATCCTTCCCTCCCTTCCTTCCTTCTTCCTTCCTTCTCTTCTTCCCTTCCTTCCATCCCTTCTTCCCTTCCAATTTTTGTCCTTCCTTCCCTCTCTCCTTCTTTCTCCTTCCTTCCTTTCCTCCCTCCGTCCCTTTTGTCCTTCCTTCTCTTTCCTTTATCCTTCCTTCCATCCTTTTCTTCTTTTCTTTCTTCCCTTCTTCCAATTTTTGTCCTTCCCTCTCTCCCTCTTTCTCCTTCCTTCCTTTCCTCCCTCCCTCCCTTTTGTCCTTCCTTCTCTTTCTTTCTTTCCTTCCTTCCTTCCATCCATCATCCATCCATCCCTTTCATCCTTTCTTCCGTCTTTCCTCCCTCTCTCCCTCTTTCTCCTTCCTTCCTTTCTTCCCTTTGTCCTTCCTTCTCTCTTTCCGTTATCCTTCCTTCCATCCTTCTCTTCTTCCCTTCCTTCCTTCCCTTCTTCCCTTCCAATTTTTGTCCTTCCTTCTTTCCCTTTCTCCTTCCTCCTTCCCTTCCACCCTTTCATCCTTCCAGGGGGTTGGACTGGATGGCCTTTGGGGTGCATCTACAGGTGCATCTGCACTGTAGAATTATTGCAGTTTGATCTCACTCTAACTACCTCTTTCTCCCTCCACACCCAGGTTCTGCTTTCGAGCTGCTCGCGATGCCAGGGCTGCGACTCCCTGGTGTACGACGAGGAGGTCATGGCGGGGTGGAGCTCCGACGACTCCAACCTCAACACCACGTGTCCCTTCTGCGCCCGACCCTTCGTGCCCTTCCTCAACATTGAGATCCAGGACTTCCAGGTCCCTCCCAGGTCTGGACCCTATATTATAAACAACAACAACAACACTGTATTTGCATTCTGCTCTATCTCCCCTATATACCGCCCTCTTGTGGCCGCATCGATATAAATAAAAATGTCATGTTCGTTTGTGGGATTGACAGAACTCAAAAACCACTGGACGAATTGACACCAAATTTGGACACAAGACACCTCTCAGGCCAACAAGTAACCATCACACCTAAAAACACACAAAAAACCCCATCAGAATGGACTTTAACCCCCCCAAATAAACCATAGGCCTGTTTGATCAAGAAAAAATTTGTTTCTAAAATCGATTTGTAATTGGGGTGTTTTTTTGTTTCGATATTTAAAATAATTACAAAACTTTCCCAAAAAAAGTTTTGGTATTTACGAAATTTTGTAAATATTAACGAATTTTTAGAATATTTTTGTATTTTTTAAGAATAATATTAAAATAATATTAAAAAATATTTTAAAATGGAAAATTAACCAAAAAATGGCCCAAATGTGGACCAAACACAGGCAGGAGACAGCAAATGAGAGCACACACCAACAGAAGAGTCTTTTCTTTTTTAGAATATTTTTTAAAAATAATATTAAAATAATATTAAAAAATAATATTAAAATAATATTAAAAAATATTTTAAAATGGAAAATTAACCAAAAAATGGCCCAAATGTGGACCAAACACAGGCGGGAGACAGCAAATGAAGCAAGCAGCACTCACAGCAGCAAGGAATGAATCCAATCCAGTTGCTAGCCATTAGCCAAGCCAACCCAATGCAAACTCCCTCGCCCTCTGCAGCAATGATGAGCTACGGCCGCGCCACGCGGAGCCGCTTTGAAAGGGCTCGCCGGCCAATCAAAAACAAACAGCCACGGACCCACAGTGCACTGCTTGGGAGCGCCGGATTGGCTCCCACTGGCACCAGCACTCCAGCAGCCTCCACCCCATTAACGAAACGAGCGGAAGCTCGTTAAATCTATGGGGGTTGCTGGTTCGATATTTTAAAACCCTTCCGGGTTTGGAAATGTGTTTTGATATCGCTTCAAACATGCCTAAAATAACGAATGTTTAACGAATTAACGAACGAAACCGGACAGGCCTAATATATACATATACACATACATTCATATACATATAAACACAGAATTATACATATACACATGCACAGATACATACACACACATATACATGCAAGCACACATCTACACACATACATATACACATACACACATATACATACATGTACACAACATATGTATACACATATAAACACAAATATACATATACACATGCACACATACATACACATATATATATATGCAAGCACACACATACATATACACATATACGTATACACATATATATAGACATGTACACAATATATGTATACACATATAAACACAGAAATAGACATATACACATGCACACATACACACACATATATATGCAAGCACACATACATATACACATACACACATACATATACACGTGTACACAATATATGTATAAACACAGAAATATACACATGCACACATACATACACACCACACACATATATATGCAAGCACACACATATACATACATATACATATATACACACACATATATGCATATACACACACGCACATATACACAATATACATATACACATATAAACACAAAAATACACAAATACATACACACACATATATACACACACACAAACACACATATATACAAATATAAACAAATATATACACAGACATAACCGCATATATGCACACACAAAGCACATATACACAGACTGGGCCACAGCAACGCATGGCAGGGGACGGCTAATATATGTATATATGAAGCTTCAGACGTGGCCACAAGAGGTCAGTATAGAGAAAGGATAACCTATTGGCTTATAGGTATGCATGTGTGCAGGACTCAGATGCAACCACAAGAGGTCAGTATAGAGAAAGGATAACCTATTGGCTTATAGGTATGCATGTGTGCAGGACTCAGATGCAACCACAAGAGGTCAGTATAGAGAAAGGATAACCTATTGCAGGGGTAGGGAACCTTTGGCCCTCCAGCTGTGGTGGACTTCAACTCCCACAATTCCTTGAGGCTCGGCATTGGGTCAAGGTAAGCCTTTGGGGCGAATGCCAAGCCTCAAGGAATTGTGGGAGTTGAAGTCCACCACAGCTGGAGGGCCAAAGGTTCCCTACCCCTGACCTATTGGCTTATAGGTATGCATGTGTGCAGGACTCAGATGCAACCACAAGAGGTCAGTATAGAGAAAGGATAACCTATTGGCTTATAGGTATGCATGTGTGCAGGACTCAGATGCAACCACAAGAGGTCAGTATAGAGAAAGGATAACCTATTGGCTTATAGGTATGTACGTATGCAGGACTCGGATGTGGCCACAAGAGGGCAATTATTTTTTGATTGCATAAAATTATGTGTATTGGGTTCCTATGAAAGATCAATGAATTTATTGCTTCTCCCTCAGCGTTGTGGAGAATTCAGATGCCAGTTCGGTCTCCGATTGGCCACAGGATGGCGAAGCGCCCGCCCCTGGTAGCCAGGGCCCCGTCCTGAGTGACCGCCAGCACTGCCTGTCGCTGGACGAGGCCGAGCCAGAACCCGGGCGCGAATCCCGAGCGCCCTTATGCAACGGTTTCACGGAGTCTCCGGTAAGGATGCCTTTGGGAATCACTTCTGGTGGGTGAAATTCATAGAAGAGCCATACGGTATTAACTGTGACCACAGATCCGTTTTCAGAAGCCACGTGTGATGCCGAGAAATCGATTTGTACATTACATTATATTTGGGCATCATTTCAACATATTATTAATTATTATTATTAATATTATTATTAATAATATTTGTAAATAAGTTTTAATTTCAACATACGAGGGTTATCCAGAAAGTCAAGTTACAAGGCATGTGGCTCTTGCGGGGAATTTTCTCGGGGGAAGTTGGTATCACTGCCATGTAGCGGGAAGCCAGCGGAAGCGAATGAGCAGTGCCAGTCGTCAGTAGCTCATCAACTGGCATTGTGATGGTTTGAGATGAGCGTCCTCATTGCGTTTCCGGCTATCCCTGTATGAGAGATAGCCTGAAAGTAAGGTTACAAAGCGCGTAGCTCTTGTGGGAAATTTTCTTGGAGGAAGTTAGTATCACTGCCATGTAGCGGGAAGCCAGCGGAAGTGAATGAGCAGTGCCAGTCGTCAGTAGCTCATCAACTGGCATTGTGATTTGAGATGAGCGCCCTCATTCCTCTCGCAGGAAATTTTCTCGGGGGAAGTTGGTCTCACTTCCGTGTAGTGGGAAGCCAGCAGAAGCGAATGAGCAGTGCCAGTCGTCGGTAGCTCACCAACTGACATTGTGATGTAGGTTAGAGATGAGTACCCTCATTCCGTTTCCGTCCAAGTGTGAAGGCCACGCTGTACGAGGGATATCCAGAAAGTATTGTTACAAGGCACGTAGCTCGTGCGGGGAATTTTCTCAGGGGAAGTTGGTTTCACTGCCGTGTAGCGGGAAGCCAGCAGAAGCGAATGAGCAGTGCCAGTCGTCAGTAGCTCATCAACTGGCATTGTGATGAAGGTTAGAGATGAGCGTCCCCATTCCGTTTCCGTCCAAGTGCAAAGGTCACGCTGTATGAGGTATAGCCAGAAAGTTAGGTTACAAAGCGCGTAGCTCTCTTGGGAAATTTTCTTGGGGGTAGTATCACCGCTGTGTAGTGGGAAGCCAGCAAAAGCGAATGAGCAGTGCCAGTCGTCAGTACCTCATCAACTATCATTGTAGTTTGAGATGAGCGCCCTCATTCCTCTCGCAGGAAATTTTCTCGGGGGAAGTTGGTCTCACTTCCGTGTAGTGGGAAGCCAGCAGAAGAAAATGAGCAGTGCCAGTCGTTGGTAGCTCATCAACTGACATTATGATGTAGGTTAGAGATGAGCCCCCTCATTCCGGGCGCTCATCTTGTATTGTTACAAGGCACGTAACTCGTGCGGGGAATTTTCTTGAAGGAAGTTAGTCTCACTGCCGTGTAGCGGGAAACCAGGAGAAGCGAATGAGCAGTGCCAGTCGTCAGTAGCTCATCAACTGGTATTGTGCTGAAGGTTAGAGATGAGCGTCCTCATTGCGTTTCTGTCCAAGCGCGGAGGCCACGCTGTACGAGGGATATCCAGAAAGTATTATTACAAGGCACATAGTTCGTGCAAATTAAAACAATGTAAATGCATTAAAATATTATTATTATTTACATTGAAGGGAGGTATTGCAAGAGCCTTGTTTTTCCTCCAGGTCCCCCGGACAGTGGCGTCCCGCGTGGAGCACCTGGCCTTTGCCTACCTGAGCCCCCTGGTCCTGCGCAAGGAGCTGGAGACCCTGCTGGAGAACGAGGGAGGGGAGTTCTTCTCCCAGCCAGAGCTGGTGGACAACCACCCCATCATCTACTGGAACCTCGTCTGGTATTTCCAGCGCTTGGGGCTCCCCACCAGCCTCCCCCAGCTTCTTCTGGCCTCAAAGCACGTTCAAGCCACCTCCCAGGTGAGTCCCACCACGGCCCTGAAGTTCTAGGCGTAGAGAAGGGACTTGGAGACATCATAGAACTCTAAAACTGGGCTGAAGGACCTAGAGTCATAGAGTTGAAGAGACCACATGGACCATCTAGTCCAATCATAGAACCATGAAACTGGGTTGAAGGACCTAGAGTCATAGAGTTGAAGAGACCACGTGGACCATCTAGTCCAATCATAGAACCATGAAACTGGGTTGAAGGACCTAGAGTCATAGAGTTGAAGAGACCACGTGGACCATCTAGTCCAATCATAGAACCATGAAACTGGGTTGAAGGACCTAGAGTCATAGAGTTGAAGAGACCACGTGGACCATCTAGTCCAATCATAGAACCATGAAACTGGGTTGAAGGACCTAGAGTCATAGAGTTGAAGAGACCACGTGGACCATCTAGTCCAATCATAGAACCATGAAACTGGGTTGAAGGACCTAGAGTCATAGAGTTGAAGAGACCATGTGGACCATCTAGTCCAAACCCCTGCCATGCAAGAAAAGCACAATCAAAGCAACCTTGACAGATGGCCATCCAGACTCTGTTTAAAAGCCTCCAATAGTAATAATAATAATAATAATAATAATAATAATAATAAGTTGTTTTGTTATTATTATTATTATTATTATTGAAGAATCATGGAGTTGATAGAGTCCCTCTTCTGCCATGCAGAAAAAGCACCATCAAAGCACCCCCAACAGATGGCCATCCAGCCTCTGTTTAAAAGCCTCCAATAATAATAATAATAATAATAATAATAATTGGTTATTATTATTATTAGTAGTAGTAGTAGTATTGAAGAATCGTGGAGTTGAGAGAGACGCTCTTCTGCCATGCAGGAAAAGCACCATCAAAGCACCCCCGACAGATGGCCGTCCAGCCTCTGTTTAAAAGCCTCCAATAATAATAATAATAATAATAAGAAGAAGAAGAAGAAGAAGAAGAAGAAGTTATTATTATTAATAATTATTGAAGAATCATGGAGTTGGAAGAGACCTTCTGTCATGCAGAAAAAGCAACATCAAAGCACCCCCAACAGATGGCCATCCAGCCTCTGTTTCAAATCCTCCAACAATAATAATAATAATAATAATTCATTATTATTATTAGTAGTAGTAGTAGTGAAGAATCATGGAGTTGAGAGAGACGCTCTTCTGCCATGCAGAAAAAGCACCATCAAAGCACCCCCGACAGATGGCCGTCCAGCCTCTGTTTAAAATCCTCCAATAATAATAATAATAATAATAATAATAATAATAATAATAATAATATGTTATTATTATTGTTATTATTAATTATTGAAGAATCATGGAGTTGGAAGAGACCCTCTTCTGTCATGCAGAAAAGGCAACATCAAAGCACCCCCGACAGATGGCCATCCAGCCTCTGTTTCAAATCCTCCAATAATAATAATAATAATAATAGGATATTATTACTATTAGTAGTAGTAGTAGTAGTAGTAGTAGTAATATTGAAGAATCATGGAGTTGAGAGAGACCCTCTTCTGCATTGCAGAAAAAGCACCATCAAAGCACCCCTGACAGATGGCCATCCAGCTTCTGTTTAAAAACCTACAACAACAACAACAATAATAATTGTTTTGTTTTTTGTTGGTTATTATTATTATTATTATTATTATTGGAGAATCATGGAGTTTTGAAGACACCCTCTTCTGCCATGCAGAAAAATACCCATCAAAACCACTGCCTCCTGACAGATGGCCATCCAGCCTCTGTTTCAAAGCCTCCAAGGAAGGAGCTTCCACCACACTCCCACGGCAGAGAGTTCCACTGTTGAACAGCTCTCGCGGTCAGGAAGTTCCGGTCTCCAGGGCAGTGGAAAACAAGCTTGCTCCTTCTTCCTTATTGAATTACGTTGGTCAACACTTCTTTCTCTCTCCACTTTTCAGAGTCCCACCCAGGAAGGGGCCCTCGTGAGCGTGCATTTGCTCTGGGACGTCTTGACCCCGGATCCGGACAGCTTCCCCCCGCTCTACGTCCTTTGGAGGTTCCACAGTGAGTGTCCAAAACCAAGTTCCTTTTCCCACGGCGGTCTCCTTGGTTCTTGTGGTCGGGACATCCTGGTATAGCAGACATGGGCCAACTTCGGCCCTCGAGGTGTTTTGGACTTCAACTCCCACAATTCCTAACAGCCGTTAGGCTGTTAGGAATTGTGGGAGTTGGAGTCCAAAACACCTCGAGGGCCGAAGTTGGCCCGTGCCTGCTCTAGGATCACCTCTACTTACTTTCTTAACGCTTTCAGACCACATGTACATTAGAACTGTATTTCAGACCACATGTACATTAGAACTGTATTTCTCATACACTGTAATAGGCAGACTAAGGCTTCCGGTGCCATTTTCGGTGCCGTTTGGAAGGGATTTAGGGGCCACAGGGTGCAAATATCCTTCTCCTGTCGTCCGGAAATGCTCTCAACCACCTTGGATTTATTTTTTACCCCGGCAGGCAACATCTCTACGCGGTTGCAGTCCTGGCGGCGGCACAACCACCCCTTTTCGCTGGCTTTTCTGGAGGCCGTGCTGAGCTCCGTGGGGCTGGGAGAGGTGCACAAGGCCATCGCCCTCTTTTTGGAGACCCTGGCCGGGCAGCCCAGCCCCATCCACATACAGAGGTACCCCTTGCTCTCCCCCCAAACTGGAACTTGTATGTATGTATGTGTGTGTATGTGTGATGACAGGGATCATGACTGTAGATATAATCGAGCAGTTACACTACGAGGGGCGTTCATGCAAGATTTCCCCCAATCTCCTTCCTGTGTTGTTGTTGTTGTTACCTGCCTTTCCTCAAAACTTGTGGCAGGGGATGCTGGTAACAACAACAACAACAACAACTATTATTATTATTATTATTATTATTATTATTATTGCAATGTAGTTAAAATATATGAAGATGATGGTGATGATAACAGTTGTTGTTGTTGTTACCTCCCTTTCTTGAAAACTTTTGGCAGGGGATGCTGGTAACAACAACAATTATTATTATTATTATTATTATTATTATTATTATTATTATTGCAACGTAGTTAAAATATATGAAGATTATGATGATGATAATAACAGTTGTTGTTGTTGTTGTTGTTGTTGTTGTTGTTGTTACCTGCCTTTCCTGAAAACTTGTGGCAGGGGATGCTGGTAACAACAACAACAACAACAATAATAATAATATTTATAACAATAATAATAATAATTATTATTATTATTATTATTATTATTGCAACATAGTTAAAATATATGAAGAAGATGATGATGATAACAGTTGTTGTTGTTGTTACCTGCGTTTCCTCAAAACTTGTTGCAGGGGATGCTGGTAACAACGAACAATAATAATAATAATTATTATTATTATTATTATTATTATTGCAACATAGTTAAAATATATGAAGAAGATGATGATGATAACAGTTGTTGTTGTTGTTACCTGCGTTTCCTCAAAACTTGTTGCAGGGGATGCTGGTAACAACAACAACAACTATTATTATTATTATTATTATTATCATTGCAATATAGTTAAAATATATGAAGATGATAACAATTGTTGTTGTTGTTACCTCAAAACTTGAGGCAGGGGATGCTAATAATAATAATAATAATAATAATAATAATAATAATAATAATAATAATAATAATAATAATAATAATTGCAACGTAGTTAAAATATATGATGATGATAATTATTGTTGTTGTTGATACCTGCCTTTCTTGAGAACTCGAGGCAGGGGGTGATGATGATGATAGTTGTTGTTGTTGTTGTTGTTGATACCTGCCTTTCCTGAGAACTTGAGGCAGGGGATGATGATGATGATGATGATGATGATGATGATGATGATAGCAACCTAGTTAAAATATATGATGATAATGCTGATAACAGTTGTTGTTATTGTTGTTGTTGTTGTTGTTACCTGCCTTTCCTGAGAACTTGAGGCAGGGGATGATGATGATAGTAGTAGTAGTAGTAGTAGTAGTAGTAGTAGTAGTAATAATAATAATAATAATCTGCCTGTAAGACAGAGAGCAACATAATTAAAATATATAATGATGGTGATGATGATGATGATGATGATGATGATGATATTTGTTGTTGTTGTTGTTACCTGTCTTTCCTCAAAACTTGGGATGATGATGATGATAGTAGTTGTAGTAATAGTAGTAGTAATAATAATTTGCTTGCCTGTAAGACAGAGTGCAACATCGTTAACACATATGATGATGATGATGATGATGATGATGATGATGATAGTTGTTGTTGTTGTTACCTGCCTTTCCTGAGAACTTGAGGCAAGGAATGATGATTATGATGATGATAGTTGTAGTAATAGTAGTAATAATAATAATAATTCTTATCTGCCTGTAAGACAGAGTTCAACATAGTTAAAACATGTGATGATGATGATGATTGTGATTATGATGATATTGGTTGTTGTTGTGGTGGTTGTTGTTGTTGTTGTTACCTGTCTTTCCTCAAAACTTGGGATGATGATGATGATAGTAGTTGTAGTAATAGTAGTAGTAATAATAATTTGCTTGCCTGTAAGACAGAGTGCAGCATCGTTAACACATATGATGATGATGATGATGATAGTTGTTGTTGTTACCTGCCTTTCCTGAGAACTTGAGGCAAGGAATGATGATGATGATGATGATGATGATGATAGTAGTAGTAATAGTAGTAATAATAATAATAATTCTTATCTGCCTGTAAGAAAGAGTTCAACATAGTTAAAACATGTGATGATGATGATGATTGTGATTATGATGATATTGGTTGTTGTGGTTGTTGTTGTTGTTACCTGTCTTTCCTCAAAACTTGGGATGATGATGATGATGATAGTAGTTGTAGTAATAGTAGTAGTAATAATAATTTGCTTGCCTGTAAGACAGAGTGCAACATAGTTAACACATATGATGATGGTGATGATGATGATTTTTTGTTGTTGTTGTTGCCTACCTTTCCTCAAAACTTGGGATGATGATGATGATGATAGTAGTAGTTGTACTAATAGTAGTAGTAATAATAATTTGCTTACCTGTAAGACAGAGTGCAACATAGTTAACACATATGATGATGATAGTTGTTGCTACCTGCTTTTCCTGAGAATTTGAGGCAAGGAATGATGATGGTAGTAGTAGTAGTAGTAGTAGTAATTCTTATCTGCCTGTAAGACAGAGTGCAACATAGTTAAAACGTGATGATGATGATTGTGATTATGATGATATTGGTTGTTTTGTTGTTGGTGTTATGGTTGTTGTTGTTGTTGTTACCTGTCTTTCCTCAAAACTTGGGATGATGATAGTAGTAGTAGTAGTAGTAGTAGTAGTAATAATAATAATAATAATTATTATTATTATTATTATTATTTGCTTGCTTGTAAGACAGTTGTTGTTACCTGTCTTTCCTCAAAACTTGGGATGATGATAGTAGTAGTAGTAGTAGTAGTAGTAATAATAATATTATTATTATTATTATTATTATTATTATTTGCTTGCCTGTAAGACAGAGTGCAACATAGTTAAAATATAGGATGATGTTGATGATGATGATGATGATGATGATGATGATGATGATGATGATGATGATATGCATGTCCTTGCTTTCTTGCTCTTCTTTTCTCCTTTCCAGGAGCATTTACCGGGAGATCCTGTTTCTCAAGCTGGCCGCTTTGGGCAGAGACCACGTCGACCTGGGTAAGGAGAAGATGGGGTCGGTCTCCCCGTTTCATTTTATTCTATTCTACTCTCCCCTAAACTACAAATCCCAGCGTTTCCTGGTGGAATTGTAAGGCCATCCATATTACAAAAATTAAGAGTGCTACGATTCCACTTTGGCTGCCATGACATGATCCTCGGGGAGGGGGGGAGGAGCATGTTGGACGACCCCCAGGAGCCCTTGCTGAACTATGAATCCCAGGCCATCATCTTCTCTTTCTCCCTTCTCCAGCTGACTTTGACAAGAAATACAAGTCCGCCTTCTCCAAGTTGGCCGGCAGCATGGGCAAGGAGTCGCTGAAGCAGCGGAGGGCTCAGCCCCCCACTTCCAAGGCCATCGACTGCCGGAAGAGCTTTGGGGCCAACCTGGAATGCTAGCCCGGAAAGTGGGGGGCGGCTCCCCTCGTTCCCACCACCTCCCGTCCACCAACATCCTCTCTTTTGCCCCCTACAATCCCAGCAAGATAGCAAATATTCCGGGACAGAACTGGAGCTGATACCAAATTGGGGCAGGAGGCGGTCGGCCGGGATGACCCCCCCTCCCCCATTTCCGAGGGACCCCATTTTCTTTAGGGGGCAAAACTGGAAAATAGGGAGTTGTGGGGTGAGAGATAGCAAGACCACTCAAAAGGGGAAGGTCTTCCCACTCTTGGAAGGGGGCATAGATAATTGGTATGGCCAATCTTGCCCCCCCCCCAATTAATTTCCTTTGGGGGATGGAATTGGAAATGGGAAAGACCCCGGACCGGTTTGTGGGTTCCATTCCTGGAAGACCAGGGTAACTGTATGGGGAGAGATCCCGGACCAATGTGGGGGTCCCCTCATTCTTTTCCCATCCCACCAAGAAAAGGGGTTCCATTGGCACGGTGGGCGGGTCTCAAGGACCACGTTTTGGGGAACACACCTGGGAGTAGGGCGATGATAAGGTGAGAGAGGCCATTGGGGGGCACAATGGGGAGCAGGGAATTGGTACGGCGAGAGAGGTGTAGGCCCCCCAATTCTTGGAGGGTCTCCCCAGCCTTTCCCACCGAGAAAAGAGGGTACCCTCCCCCTCTTTTTGGGGAAGAGAGGATTATAGAGGAATGAATCTATAGGTCTCCCCTCTCCTTGGAGGGTTCCCCATCTCGCGGGGAAAAGGGGGTCCCATTGGCACCGGAGGGGGGGTCCCGTGGACCGCATTTCGGGGTGCCGAGCTTAAGAGTAGCCCACTCCTGTCTTGACAATGCACTTTGCATGTGACACCCGGGCACGATCCCCACGACCCCGCGTGCGTCCCGTCCCCCCGAACCCCGTATGTGTGCCCCCCTTTTTTTCCTGCGTCTCCATGGAACGTGTGTCCCTTTTTGGTGGATGTTTCATCCGTTCGCCGTCCATCCGACGGCAACCGAAATCCATCTGAGTTCAGTTTGGGAGAAGAGAGAGCCCTATAGAAAGCGGGGTGTGTCCCCCTCTTCCTGTGACAACCCCCCCCCCATACACACACACATACACACACAAACATCGTTGCCAAGTTGGATTCTATTTTTACCGTCCGTGTTTTGAGGGGAAGAAGGAGGAAAGCTGTTTTATAATTTATTTATTATTTTCCGCGTCCGTCCCACCCTTTTCGGCGGTGCAGAACGGACCGGATTCTGCCGTGCCCGAAACCCACCCATCCAGCATGGCTGATAAAAGGGAGTTTTGGGAATTGTTATCCCTTCAAAAACAAAAAAAATGAGCTCTGGAAGAGGATTTGACCTTGCTCCTCCCTCTCTCTTCATTGCGTTCGTGCCTCTTTGGGCCAGCCCCCCAATTCGTTGCAGAGACTGTTTTGCCCCCCATTTCTTTGCTGACGAAGCGTAAAACGGGAAAGAAAGGGGTCGTGCGGTTTAACACAAACACACTTGGTCTCCTCAGGGCTCGAATTGTGCAATACGGAGTCAACCTCCATCACGCCTCTCTTCCATTTGTTGTATCGTTCTTTCCTTTTTTTTCCCCCCCGTTCGTTTTGTTCCTTTTGTTCGTCCGTTCGTTTCCGACGTTCCCGGTTCTGTAAATAAAGATGCTTCTGTATTTTCCATTTCCGGGTCTCGGCTGTGTTTCGTGTCCACAAACGGAGGAACCGAGGGAGTATCAGTGCCATTTGCTGGCCAACTTTCTCATCATCCAATTAGCTGACTTCAGACAGTTGTTTCTACTTCGGTAGCGGCTCGGATGCAATGGAGAAGAGCCAAGAGGAAGAGACAAATGGCATCTTCTATATTGATACCCCACTGTTATCAGATCATTCAGTGTCCATCCTCCTAGTCTATCGCAATGGCTTCACATCTATATCTATCTATGTATATAATAAAAGTCAGTGTTTGTATGCGGAGGGAGGGAGGGCGGTGTATGTGGCAGCTTTCTGATTGGCTGCCACTTTCACAAGCCACTGTGACCGCTACGAATGGTGAACCTGGACTAAACTTGGCACACATAACCCCCATGACCCAGTTTACATCCTGGTACGGTTTGGGAGAGTTGGACCATGGATTATGGGATTTGTAGTACTTTCAAACGCTTTTGTTCCCACGGACCAATATGGTCCCCAACAAAGACCGATGAAGACCAAACTTGGCACACAGAGCCCCCATGACCCACTCTACATCCTACTGCAGTTTGGAGGAGGGAGGACCATGGATAATGGGACATGAAGTACCTCCACTCACTTCCCGAGACCACTACGACCCTCATCCAATGACTGAGCAAGACCAAACTTGGCACTCATAATCCCCATGACCGCCTTTACATCCTGGCGAGGTTTGAGGGAGGACAGACAGTGGATGATGGGATTTGTAGTACTTTCAAACCCTTCGGATCCCACAAACCACTGCGGCCCCCAACAAAGACTGATAAAGACCAAACTTGGCACACAGAGCACCCATGACCCACTCTACATCCTGGTGCGGTTTGGAGGAGGTTGGACTATGGATTATGGGACTTGCAGTACCTTCATTAACTTCCCGAGAGCACTGTGAGCCACATAAATAACTGGTAAAAACCAACCTTGGCATACAATGCCTTTCTCAGAAAAACCCGGGCACCGCCGGGTCCCCAAGCTAGTATATAATAAAAGTGTATGTATGTATGTATGTGGAAGCTTTCTGATTGGCTGCCACTTCTACAGGCCACTTCGACCAGCACGGGTGGCAGACCTGGACCAAACTTGGCACACATAACGCCCATGACCCCCTTTACATCTTGGTGAGGTTTGGGGGAAGATGGACAGTGGATGATGGGGTTTTTAGTACTTGATGGGATTTGTAGTACCCTTGGGGGTGAGAAGGGTGGGGTAGAAATGTTGTAAATAAATAAATAATTCAGTTCCCACAGACCACTGTGGCCTCCAACAAAGACCAATAAAGACCAAACATGACCCACTCTACATCCTACTGTGGTTTGGAGGAGGACAGACCATGGATGATGGGACTTGAAATACCTCCACTCGCTTTCCGAGACCGCTGCGACCCTCATCCATTAACTGATCAAGACCAAACTTGGCACACATAACCCCCATGACCGTCTTTAGGTCCTGGTGAGGTTTGAGGGAGGATGGACAATGGATGATAGGATTTGTAGTACTTTTAAACCCTTTGGTTCCCAAAGACCACTGTGGCCTCCAACAAAGACCGATAAAGACCAAACTTGGCACACTGAGCCCCCATGACCCACTACATCCTACTGCAGTTTGGAGGAGGATGGACCATGGATGATGGGACTTGAGGTACCTCCACCTAATTCCCAAGGCCGCCGCGACCCTCATCCAATGACTGATCAAGACCAAACTTGGCACACAGAGCCCCCATCACCCATTCTACATCCTGGTGAAGTTTGGAGGAGGATGGACCACAGGTGATGGGACTTGAAGTACCTTCACTCACTTCCCGAGACCGCTGCAACCCTCATGCAATGACCGATCAAGACCAAACTTGGCACACAGAGCCCCCATGGCCCACTCTACATCCTGATGCTGTTTGGAGGAGGATGAACCATGGGACTCGCAGTACCTTCACTCACTTCCTGAGAGCACTGCAAGCCACATAAGTAACTGATAAAGACCAACCTTGGCACACAATGCCTTTCTCAAATAACCCGGGCACCACTGGGTCCCCAAGCTAGTTAGTAATATATTTGACTGAACATGAGCCTAGAGTGTGAAGAAGGCCAACGCTCTCCTAGGCTGCATCTGTAGGAGTCTAGTGTCCAGATGGAGGAAAATAATATAGCCATGGCTTCACAGTAGTTTTATATATATATATATATATATATATATATATATATATATATATATATATGGCTGAACATGAGCCAAGAGTGTGGCGCAGCAGCACAAAAGGCCAATGCGATCCTAGGCTGCATCTAAAGGGGTCTACTGTCCAGATAGAGGAAAATAATATAGCCATGGCTTGAGGATACTAATATATATGGCTCAGCATGAGCCAAAAATGTGATGCAGCAGTGAAAAAAAAAACTAAATTAATATTAAAAATAAAAATATTGTATTGTCGAAGGCTTTCATGGAAGGAATCACTGGGTTGTTGTTTAAAAATATTATTAAACAGTTATTTTAAATAGATATTTTATTATGAAATATAAAATTGTTTAATATTATAGATATATATTATATTAGATGTAATATATTAATATTTATTAAATATATCAAATATGAAACAAATACATTATTTAATATAAATATATTAAATAATTAAATAATAAATAATAATATTAATATATTGTATTATATTAAGAAATATTTATATTAAATATAAATATCAAAATAAAATATAAAAATGCATAAATATAAGTATGGGAAATAAATAATGAAATATTTACATTAAGCAAACATTAACTATATTAGATGTAGTATTAATGAATATTTATTCTATTAGTAAATATATTTAACACTAGTATATAAATATTAAGAATAAATATATATATATTGAAATAAATATATGATTAAGTTTAAAATTCTGAAATAAATATATTACTAAATTTAAAATGATTTACTATGAATATAGGAAAATATCAAATATATATAGTCGCATTATATTAATATTTATGATATATTATTAAATACTTACATTAAGCAAACATTAGATATATTAGATGTAGTATTAATGAATACTGATTATATTAGTAAATATTTACATTAAATATTTAAAATAAATATTACAAATAAATTAATAAGTATTAAAATAAATACATTACTAAATTTAAATTTAATATAAACAGGAAAATATCAATTATATATAATCGTATTTTATAAAAGATTTTTGATATATTACTAAATATTTACATTAAGCAAAAATAGATATATTTGATGTAGTATTAATGCATACTGATTACATTAGTAAATATTTATATTAAATGTTAATAAATCAATATTAAAAAAATAAATATTAATATAAATAGATTATTAAATTTAAAATGATTTAATATAAATATAGGAAAAGATCAAATATATATAATTGTATTATATTAATAAATAAATATGTATGATATATTATTAAACATATTAAATATTAATACATAAATTTTAAAAATAAATAAGTATTAAAATTAATGTATTATTAAATTTAAAATGACTTAATATAACATGAAGATATTGAATATAAATTCGTATTATATTACTCAATATCTATGATATATTATTAAAAATTTAATAATATATTTATGATATATCATTAAAAATTAAGCAAACATTAAATATATTAGATATAGTATTAATGAATATTTATTATATCAGTAAATATTTATATTAAATATAAAATATAAATTAAGTATTAAAATAAATATATTATTACATTTAAAATTGTTTAATAGAAATATATGAGAATATCAAATATATATCCGTATTACATTAATAAAGTATGATATATTGTTAAAAATATTAAATATTAATTAAAATATTTAAAATAAATATTAAACTAAATATGTTATTAAATTTAAAATTCTTTAATATATGAATATATCAAATATATATTCGTATTATAGTAATATTATAGTATTATAGTAATAAATATTTATGATATTATTAAAATTAAGCAAACATTAAACAGATATAGTAATGAATACTTATATTAGTAAATATTTATATTAAATATTAAATATAAATTAATAAGTATTAAAATATATTATCAAATTTAAAATTATTTAATAGAATAATATGAAAACATCAAATATATTAATAAATATTTATATTATTAAATATATGAAATATTAATAAATAAACATTAAAAATAAATATTAAAAATAAATAAATATTAAACTAAATATATAACTAAATTTAAAATGATTTAATATATATATATATATGAAAATATCGAATACAAATTCGTATTCTATTACTCAATATTTATGATATATTATTAAAAAATTAAGGAAACATATTAAATATATTAGATATAGTATTAATGAATAAAAATATAAATTAATAAGTATTTAAATTAATATATTATATTATATTATTCAATTTAAAATTGTTTAATAGGATAATATGAAAATATCAAAATATTTCGTTTTATATTAATATTAAATATTTAGATTAAATAAATTACTATATAATATATTACATTTAAAATGATTTAATAGAAATATAGGAAATTATCAAATATATATATTTCTTTTTATATTAATATTAAATATTTAGATTTAATAAAGATTAAAAATAAATTAATATGTAATATTTAGATATTTAATTAGATATTATATTAAAATTAGTTATATTTAATAGAACTATATTATTATTTAGTTGTTGGGGGTTCACTTGTGCCTTTGTTTGTTTATCATTATGAATATGTTTTATTATTTGTTATTATTTATCTGAAAATGTCAGAAAAGCCCAAAAAAAGGCTTTGAAATCTATCTAGGCCTACGGTGGCGACCTGGGGTCAAAAAGCCCTTAGGGCGAGCGAGGAAAGATGGGCAGCCTCCCCGCTTCGCTTCGCCCCGCCCTTTTATTTGTATTTTGGCCCGCCGACACATTCATCCATGAGGCCGGCAGTTACCCGGATGTGGCGGCTTATTCAGAGAAAGGGACCC